TGTTTAATAAAATGAATTGCTATGGCAGTTACAAATTGAAATATGGAACCTAAGAATATTTGCAAATGTAGAAAGGAGTAGCTGGTTGATGATGAATAATGATAGCATTTTTAAAAACCCGGTGTGTGCAGGAGGATAGCTAAATATTTTTGGTGCTTGGAATTTGACAGTGCTCAGGCTGCTGGCCCTTAGGTGTAAATTAATATATAAAATAAATATGATTGCAAGCTAGGATAAAGGCTTGTGAAATAAGCTGCAGAGGTTTATGGGTTCTTTCCCCTAATCTCATCTGTGTCTCTTGGATATGGGGAGCTGAAAAGGGACCCCCCCCTCCCTAGTCCATGCTGTTGGGAAAATCACATTAGTGTGAAAAGCTGAGACGTGATAATAACCACTCGTGTTATTTGTTTCAAAATATAACGATGTGCAGTGGTCTTGCCTGGTTGAAGACCACAGCTATCCACATACTGCCTGTTCCCCTGTCGCCCCACACCTCATTATGGTCAAGTTTGACTCATTCCTGCATCTTTTTTCCACCAGAATTTTGGAAAGTTCGCTCATGATTTCCTGGTGGTCTTCCCCTTATAAGGCATCATCAAAGCCTGAAAACCACAACTCTGCTATCTACAATGTGCCTTTTATCCTCACTCAGTCTCAATCCTCCCGGCAGCCCAGTGATCATCTATGCCTTATTCACAGATGAAAATTCTGAAGTTCAGAGGAGCTAATGGCCTGAGAGAGAAGAGGAAAGAGGAGAGGCAGAAGGGTCTGCAGTCCACAGGTGGAATACTCAGCTCCTAACACCCAAGAGTGGGCTGAGACATGAGTGTCGCTGCCTTGGGGCAGGTGCTCAGCCTAGCCGAGGTGGCACCACTAGGTAGTGTACTTCCTGGAGTCCTGTTGACTGCTGATGGTATTGTGGTCACTGCCTTTGCTTGCTTCCCACCTCCACTAAGGCTGGTACACAGGCCAATTCAGCACCTGTCAGCAGCTCATGGGTTAGAACCACTGACTGAACAGGGAAAGGGACCTGCTAGGTGGGATGAAGGTGGGGAGGCAGGAGAAGAGGGGAGCAAGCCACAGGCCATTAAGACTGTCAGAAATGTGCTCTGGACTCCCAGGGCTAATGCAGCAACATGTCAGAACAATGGGAACAGCGAATGCACTCCCATTTTTATGCCTCTCCTTCAACACTCAAGACCAACCCTTGGTCTCACTCCAAGCCACAAAGGTCCAATAGGAAGCTCTGCTACCTTCCTCCCTACTAGAAGGAGTGGGAGGGGAGGATGTTAGGCTGGAACAGTAGAGGCAGGTAAGGGTGCATGAGTATTCCTCAGGGACCTTGCTGGAGCAAACTGGCCTTACACCATTTTGATCCTGGGGCATTCAGATGGTCCCTTCCTCTGTTGGAGTGCCTTGCCCCCTCCAGGCAGTCCTCCTAGATGTCTCTTTCTGATGTGGTCACATTGGCATCCTTGTTGTGTTCCTATAAGAGTGTAGCTTACCTCCTTCCTTTCACTTCCCTGACGCACAACCCCCAGGCACATCTCTCAGTCTGGGTCTCTGAGTGATCGACTGAAGTTCCTCCTTCCCTGCTTTGTTGGAGAGACAGCTCCTCCCACACATTCACATGCTCCCTCCCCACTTGTCAGGGAGGATGTACAGCATGTTATCTCCAAATAAAACCTCTCAGACTTTACATTCTACTACCTTCTTCTCCCAGAGGGCGCTGAACTAACAGAGGCAAGCTCAATTTCTCACCACCCCCCTCTGCAAGTCTTCTGCAGATGACTTAGCGCCTCAATTTGGAATGAGGTGATGTTTTTGCACTTACTGTTTTGTTCCCTGCACGTGGGCTTGGGGAAGAATCCCATTTTAGCATCTTGTCCTGGGAGCACAGGCAGAGAGGGAAATGCCCAGTCTTTGCCACAGTGCTCATCTTGGGCCCTGTGCTATCCAGGCCTCATTCCCAGCCAGTGAAACTAGATTTCTATCAGCTCCCCAGCTCACTGACCCAAAGGCCCATTGACTAGGGCATGCATGGTTTCATTGAAAAGGCTGGACCAGGAGTTGGAAGGCCATGTAAGTCTGATTCTGCCATTAAAGGGCCTGGGACCCTAGACAAGCCAGTTACCCTTACGGGCTTGGATCTCTTGTCTCTAAAATAAAGGGATTGCACTTGATGCTCCCCAAGGTCCTTGTGTTTCTGGGATGCTGAGTTGATCTGGGACATTACACAAGGCCAAGGCAGGTCAGGTCAAGGGCAGAGATGACGCCAGAATCCCTTTGGGCAGATCCTGGCTTTTCCACTCCCATCAATGGACTGCTTTGTTTCAGGTGATGAGATTGTCATAGAATCTGTCTCCTGCCTCAGGGACATGTCCTCCCCCACTTCAGGATAGAAACAAAACAAAAGGGCAATCCAGGGTGAGGGGGGCACCAGGGCAATGTCAGGCCTCACCACTTGAAGGAAGCTGCATGTTCTCAATAGCCTTTTCCCAGGATCCAAATTGGAAGTGTATGGACTGGTTTCCAAGCTCTCCCTCAGCTAAAGATAAAAATATCACAGATCTTGGGATGTTCCCAGTCATAAATCAATCAGCCAGGACTATTTCTGTTCTTATGCCTTGCCCAGGGCGCCTCCTACGACCTCCATCCTGTCCCTAGAGTAGGATGAGGCTTGTCCATTGTCCACATTGGCTGCACCAACATGGGACTCCCTACCAGCCTCAGTAAGCCTGCACAGCAGGTGGTCCTCTCTGACAGGCAGATCAATTCCCAATTTATGCCAGGTCTCTCAGCCTACAAGGCCAAGTTGCTGCCCACAGTGGTGGGTTTCTAGGACTAAACAACCCTGAATAAGTGGTTTGCCATGGCAAGAGGTAGAGTTTCTCCTTCCCATGGTTACAATGATTACAGTATGACTCCTTAGGGTCACTGGAAGGATTAAATGACAGCCTGCAGGTAAAGCATTAGAATTGGCACCTGGTATGTTGCAGATGCTCAAAAAAACAAGAATCACATTCCCACTGCTAGCCTTCCATCTGGAGCTCAGGCTCCCAATGCTGACCCACGTCCTTAAAGGGCTCCTTTGAGGAGATTTTGTCAGACTGTCAGGTTCAGATCCAGCTCTTGGAGAGGCCCTTGAGGACATCTGATTTACTATGAGACGTCAAATCAGTGCCCTAGTAACAACCGCAGATGCCATGTTGCTGGGCCAGCTGGAGAACTGTCTCATCTACGATCTTATACTGCCCTCTGCAGGCTAAAGTGTCACACTGCAGATGGTGTTGACTGCATGTCTTGTCCAACTCCAAAAAAAAAACCCTAGATATCCCACTCTGTAGACAGGGCACTTTACAGATTAAGACATTAAGGCAAAGCAAGGTATCAAAGTAGCACCATGATTTATAGTTCAAAAAGCACTTTCTTGTTGGATTTGCTTAACCACTCTACTTTTGCCTTGGTACCAAAGGCAGTCACTGCTCAACCCTGAGAGCTTCACTAGTAATGAGTGACAAGTCACAATTCCTGCCTCAAAACATTACAGAAAATCATCCAAAAATAGATTCACATAACTCACTGTAAATGCCAGTTTGATTTTAGAGCTCTTTAGCCTTAAGCAAAAAAGAGGCACCATATTTTAAAAAACACTAAAGAAAGAATTTTGTAAGAAAGTGTGTGTGTATGTGTGTACTTTTTAAAAATGAAGGTTGTCTATGATACGGAAGATGGTAGTAGCATTTGGTGTAATTATTATGATTAATAAGCCTTTCTCACATGCTAACCAACAATTTAATTTTTAGTGACATCAACCATTAGCTCAATGTCATCTTTTCCCCTGTCTTCCTTCCATGGCCAGAACTGTGGGCTCTGTCTGGGAGGTGAGTGTTTTAGACAGTGACAGCACACAACAATGTCACACAGTCCACCCAGCACCATGTTGTGATGGAATCACCTGTTGGAGCAATGGACCTGTCTTTCTCCTGTTCTCTTTACCACTGCAAGAACCTGAGGGAATCTCGGCACAGCTCATTGGACCCAGACATTGTAAAACAGCAAAGGGAGCCATGTCTTTGATAGCTGCAGGTACCTTATATGACTGGAATTTTAGGGTCATATATTTATAGACTTAGAGCAGGAGAAGATCTTAGAAATTATCTAAGTCTAACCCTTTCATTTTGCAGTAAAACGAAGAACAGGAAAGGGAAATGACTGTTGAAGATCACACAGACAGAGACAATGCTGGGACGAGAACCCACGCTCCTTGACTCTTTTCCCTCTAGCTAATATTGATTTCAACAGAATCATTTCCAGGTGAAAATTATTCTGGCTTCAAAATGAAGATGATCCTTAAACCTGATCAATTTTTTTTTAATGCCCCAGGGAAAGAGGGAAGAAATCTGGCATGTTTTAGGCACTCAATAATTAGTTTGGTTGAATTTTTGCATTATCTTGTTTTGTATAGCATAAACAAAATTGCATCCAATTAACCTTGAATTTGTTTCTTCTTTATTCTCTCAAATGACCCAGAGATGGTTGGAGGTTTTAACCTTACCCAACTGCCTCATTGTGAAATGCGAATATGGATCTGAGGTCATATGACATTCATTGGCTTTCTGAGGAAGGCACACAGATTGAGTAACGTTGGTTTATGCTTCTGGAGGTTGTGGGAATCCTATTAGAAGGACAGACACTGTCAGCACTTGAGGATTTGTTGGGACATAGCACAAACACCCCCCAAATCTCTTTCAAAGGCACAATCAAAACAGACTTGCTTATTTGCTACTTAGGCCGATCATTTCTGAATTTGCTCATCATTATGTTTGCAAATCATGGATTTTGATTAAAATCTTCCAACACATTCCATTTTCTTCCAAAAGTCATCCTGCTAAATCACAGCTATGACATCCAGCTTGTATAGATCCGTGCTCTGCAACACAAGCCTGTGCTCCATGGAGGCCAAACTGTAGCAAAGAACACTTCTAGGGACTTTCTTTTCAGACACGCAGAGACCAGGGTTTGCACTTTTCTGGTGCTCCAGTGACACACTAGGAAAGAAGGAGAGCATTCTCATTGCCAGGGTCCTCTGATGGTGCCACTCCCACCCTGCCCCACACATGCTACCTGCCACCCCCCACTGCCAACCACATTCCAAGACCAAATCCCATTCTATAGTCTCAGCCAATAGGAATGCTCCAGTGCAAGACCCCTTTATTTCCTAGTTATTTTTTATTTTAACTGAATACTTTCCATGGTGCTGCTGTGCTCTGGAGAGATGGTGATACACAATTTAGTAGTGGCCCCTACTCACAAGGCACTCACAGTCCTTAAAAAGCACAACTGACTCAAAGAATCAGCTGCTCATGCAAACCCACTGCAGGGATTTTAAGCCTCTGAGGGACGTTTTACAGAGTTGAGCTTGCCTTGCACCATGTATGAGCTTATTGAGAGGCATGAAGCAACACTACTGTCAAGGAAATGGGGTTTGGGTAACTGGGAGCAATAGTGGGTTCTAGCCCATGGGAAAATGACTGCCCAGTTGTGCAAACTTCACAACCTAAATGCTCACACATGATTCTGTATAGTTCTCACCTCATAGCAAAAGCTATTGGCAGAGCTGAAGGTGGCCTGACTGGGGACCCACATACCTCTTTTGCCCTCAGGCAAAGGTCTAGGATACCAGATTTGCCTCCTACCTCCTCCCCATGCCTGGAACACTTTGGGTCCATGAGTACCCACTTCACCTCTAAACTCAAAGATCTATCGAATTTCAAAAGGAGGAAACCTAACCCAAGAATCACGAACAGTCAGGCTTGGCCAACCCAACAGAGGTTGTGAGTGCAAGACAATAGGATGTGTGTGAAGCAACTGCATCAGCACAACGCAGACTGGGCTGGCTCTGGGAGTGCAACAGTGGAAGGAGCAGTCCCACCAAGTTCTTTTGCCAGTCATCATCCATTAAAAGTATCACCTGTGGGTTCCTCAAGGTGACTCTGATGACCATGGAATTCCTCAACTACCTTCCCCTCCATGGAGGTAATCAATTAGCACACAACTCAGTCATCTGGTTTCCCAAAAGGCTGCACCATCCCCAAGGGTACCTATGTGTCCCATGTCAGCATGGCACACGGTAATCATGAGACAGATGTAGTTGATGGTACTAGTTTCTCTTTCCCTCCACCTCCATAGTGCCTCATCCCGTGTCTTTGACAAAAAGGGTCACCAGAAGGTAGTGATTAATACCAGACATTAGGCTCTTCTGGAGGTTTATCCATCACCTGCAGCCTGATGGAAAATGGCAAAATCTATGCGTGGTAACTATGCACCACACAATCCTCCCACCCCTAGGGAAGCGCAGCTACAATCTGCAGTTTTAAAGGGATTTCTTATTATTCTCTTGCAAGTTCAAGTGGGTCTCCACACTACACAGCAAAGGCAGCCCTTGACCCAAGGCTGCCCAGGTGAGGAAGAGCCCGACACCTCTCCTCTCTGCAGAAGCTTCCCCCACAGTTTGCCAGCCCATCCCAGGTAGAGAGGGCACTTGAGAGGCATTGTACCAGGGTGGTGAACTGATCCACGCAGGCATTGCGGATCTTCTCCGGGGTGGCAGGACTGTCTAGCTGGAAAAGTTGCTTCACATTATAATTTGTGTGCTGAGCTCGAGCTGCACAGATGGCATCCTTGATGGCGAAGAAGATGGAGGCAGCTAGGAAAAGGGGTGGTTCCCCTACAGCCTGAAAAGACAGCCCAAACCAGCGGATCAGGCAGAGTGGCCCCAGTCTCTACATCACCATACAGACCAGGTTGTGAACAGGTTGCCAGTTACTTCACTGTTGATGTCAGCAAAGTCCCCCATCCCCGCCCAGCACTAATAGGGCCACACCAGAATTAATGTGAAGCTGAGCACACATCTCCTAAATGACCAGACCTCATGGCCATATTTCTTTCAGTTCTTCCTATGCAATTTTATCTGATGCTACCATGTAATGTACCATTAAAAGTTACAAATGAGTTTTAACCCTTTCCTCACTGTTACTAGCCTAGAGAAGTAATTGACCTGCAATTCTAACACCAACACTGACAGGCACCATAACTACACTTAAACATCTGCTGGAATTATAGGCATAAAATAGACAAACAGGAATTAAAACACTACCTAGCAACAACTGGCTTTTGTCCCCCTAAAGCACAGAAGAGAGCCCACCAGTATCAGAATCACTAAAGATTCTTATTACAAGTACGTGTTTCAGGGCCCTACCACCCAGAACTACTTAATAAAACTTCCTAGAGGTGTGATTATAGAGGTATATTTTTATTGTCATAAGCCCTGGTGACTCCAATACATGGTAAAGGGTGAGAAGTAACCACACACCCTGTGTGAGAGCCACCACACAGTCACAGTAAAGTAAACCATGAGATAGGCAAATGGACATTTCATTGGTTACAAATGATTATCTGTGTTCCTTCATAGATGTAAGACTGTATCACTAGGGGTGTGACTCAATGACAGAGTGCTTGCCTAACATGCACAAGGTCCTGGGTTCAATCCCCAGCACTGAAAAAAAAAAAAAAAAGGAAAGAATAGAGGTAAGACTATATCAATCAGCTAAACTGGGGACAGGCCAGAAATAGAGGACAGCTGTTCACAATCCTCCCCAAGTATGCTGGCCAAATCATAAAACTGGGCCTTGGCAACTGAAGGAGAGAGCAGGGTGAAGACAAGGACATTGTCCACAGCCACAGCAGATTTTCTGATTCTCACAAGACCACAGACGGGATGGGATGCTCTATCTGCAAAATCATATCCAAGGATTAAGCACCAGGGAAGAAGCCTGACATATGGCTGTAGGTCGCAGTTTGACCTGTGGGATTTCATTAAAGAATTCCTCTAATATCTACCAAATGGAGTCTCTTTTGGACCATACTAAGCTGGCGTCCTCAGCCCCATTCAGCTGGTCCTCGAGAGAGATTGCCCAGAGCCCTCTGCTGTCCTCACCAAGGCCAGCATCAACCTTCTTCCTTCTTCGAGAAGCATCCTGTGCAGACACTCCAGGTTTGCCTGAAGCCCCTCATCACCACCCATGCCCTGGTGCACCCATGTGCAGGTCAGAAGGCAGCACAGACCAAAGTACCTTGGAGGCATAGATGGCCTTCTTGTTGGGGCAGTCCCGGAGCAGGGATACCCTGAATTCAATGGGGATGCTGCCAAATGCGGGAATCTTGTAAGTGCTGGGGCCACGAGTGTGCAGGCTGCCCTCGGGGGAGTAGTGCAGCTCCTCCAGGGTGAAAAGACCAAGGCCCTGGACAAATGCTCCTTCCACCTGCAAGATAATGGAGACTGTGGTGACTGCTTCTCCCTCCCCAAGGACAGAGACTGCTATCCATAGTGGACACAAAGCCCCACTTGTAGTGAAGCCTGGAAGGAAGCTAACACAGCCTTCAACTGCTTAACTGGCTCCTGCCCAAGGCCTAGGATAACCTAGCAGGACTGTCTCAGGCAGAACGAAGTTGTTGACAATGAATGTCACTTCAAAACTCGACAGCAATTCTAAGAAGGTCACATAGTGGTTGGTAATTTCCCACTTAAACCTGCCACCAGGCAGATGGAGCTGTTCCCTCCATGTTGTCACTGGGGAAAGGGTGACCCAAAACTAAGAAGCAAGGTCACAAGAAGAATTTCATGAAGAGAGGATTCTGAGATTTACCTGCAGCCCTGTTGGATCCCCACCTCTGCCTGTCTCTAGGAGAAGAGTACCTGCTATAGTCTGCAGATCTCTTCTAGGGCACCTGCCACACTATGCTGGCGCCTATATTTTATCTCCCATCTCCCTGCTCAAAAGAATGATGGATAAGGACTGGAGCGTGTGACTCAATTAGTACAGCACTTGCCTAGCAAGCACAGGCCTTAAGGCCTAACCCCAGAACCACCAAAAAGAGTTATATGTGGCACCACTGTAGCCAAAGAAGCACTCTGGGAAGAGGCCACTGTCAATCATCTTTGCATCTTCAGTACCTACCCACAGTGGGGGAAGGGGCTCTCCAAACAGTCATTCAGTAAGTTTGTGAACAGTGACCAATAATTAGATTTCTGCATTCTTGGTAATTGTCCATTTTTGAGAAATATGATGTGTATTTTCTATCAGATGCCCACAACCTCAACTCTTGATTCATCTCTTCTCCTGCTTCACCTGTTCTGCCCAATAACCCCATATTTCAAAAGTGATGTTCTTTGCACGATCTCTTTACTCTTTCTAGTTCTAGTTGAGCCCAAGTCTTTTGCCTCGGGGGCCTCCACCACCCTATGCTTGTACCATTTATTTCCTGGAACATAAAAGATGTCCTGGGTGGAAAAGCAATGAGGAGAGAGACTCTGCTCCTGGGCATTGATCCCAAACTCCATCTCCCTTCCATATTGTGCTCATCTCAAACTCTGTGTGTGCATGTGTGCACATGCATCCAATGTTTCCCCATTCATCACCTTGTCCTCTGGGGTATGAAATGCCCTTTCCAAGTTAATCCATATTCATTTGTTTTCTGCCTTGATAGTTGGGTGAGCTATCATCAGTCCAAATTCCACTCTGGGAGTACCATGGCTTATTTAAACATGACATTGGACAACATGCTGTGTAGCTGGTGACCCTGGGGTGGGGGATGGGGCACACTAGTGGCCTACTTTGTGACCACCCTTGTTCCCCATGAGCCTTACCTGTCCAATATCGATGGCAGGGTTCAAACTTGAGCCAACATCCATGACAATGTCTGTGCGGAGGTTCTAGTAGGTGGCAATATAGAAGCAGTTTGAGAAGAAATGAATATTTGGAATGCTATAGATATGTCTGGGTGACACTTAGACTGTAAATCCCAATCCAAACAGCGCTTTTTACAAGCAGAGAGCCTGGAACAAGCTCGGGTGTTAGAGTTCTCACCAAGTCTTGACTACCATTGTCATTGCTGAAGGTTGAGATCTTAGCAAATTAGGTAGGGGTTGGGAAGCAGCAATGATCTCCTGGTAATCAGTAAAAACTGTGCACACTTTCACACATGAGTAGTTCTCATGAACTTTGTGAGCTCCTGTCCTACTGACCTAACTGGGGGGTGACTGGAGATGCAGCAAGGACAAAAGATAGACAAACAAGCGTAAAGTTGGAATCAGGTGTGCTGGGCGCTCAGATGGAGATGCACAACAACCTCATTACTTCTTTTCTCTATTCTTCAAAACCTTGCTTCTTTTCTATTCCTTTAAGTCTCGGTCCTTCATCTCGCAGACACTCAACAGTCGCAGCAGCAGCAGCCAACCCCACAAGCAGTCCCGGCAGTAGCTTCCACCCCTCACAAGCAGCCAACCAATCAATCCAATCCTCCATCCTCCTTCAGGGAATCTTTTATATACAGTGGTAAGCAAGGAGGTGGAGCAACAGTTCTCAGGGAGGGGTGTGACACCATAACAAGAGAAACCTGCTGTCCCTTGAAGTAAACATCTTAGGAAAAGCAGCTGTGCTGCATTTTGCCTTTGCACCCTTCTGTGGCTGGGGCCATGCCAAACTCAGCCTGCATACTATTTGACAGCTGCTCTTATGTCAAGTTCTCATAGGCTTTTCATACTCTGCTCCCCACAAGTAGTAAGGGCAGGTTCCCAGGGACCTGCAGCATTGAACCTGAGTCTAGATAGATCTATACTCTGCAGGCTGAACCCAGCCCATCTTCTCTTTTTGTAGGGTCTATAGGTTGATAATCACATTATTAAAAGACCGAAAAGAATGTTTTTGTGACAAAGAAAAATGATCTGAAATTCAAATTTTGGTGTGCACAAATAGAATTTTATTGGTACACAGCCACACTCATTTGTTCATACATACAGCTGCTTTGACACTACAATGATGGAGTTCAGTGGTTGAGGCAACCATGTTGTGGTCCCCAGAGCCCAAAATATGTACTCTCTGGCCTTTCATCAAGTGTTTGGTTATTTCTGACGTATGGCATTCTTTTCCCAACCAGAAGGCCTGTCTCTATTGACTCTTAGTAGTACAGTTCAGTTGTTTCTCTTCTCTTCCTTCATAAAACTAAATTCCTCAAACATCTTACCTTATGATCCCCAGTTAAGCAGTCAATTTCTACTTCAGAGCAAGCCACCCCATAAGTGAAGTAGTGGAAGGGATTCCCAGAGTTTGTCTCAAAGCTGTAGCCAATGTTGGGTGTCCTGGGAGAGAAAAGAGAACATGCTGTTGTAAGAAAACCCACACCTTTCCCATGCACACACAATTTATCCCACAAAAATCTTTAAGGCTCGACACTTTAATTTTTCTTTCAGCTGTTCTCCAAAAAAGCCCATGTGTTCTGAATATTCTGAACCTTTAATGAAACTCAGGGATTCCTGGGCATTTTTCCAAGGTATGAACTATAATCATTCTGTAGAGAGTGTTGGGGTTTTGTATCAGTGTGCTGGCTCCTACAGGTTAGAAACAAAGGGGACAGATGTGTCTGGGCTCCTGAAGGACATGGAAGTCACTTTCTAAAAGATCAACTGAACTAGAATCCAAGGTCTCCAGCACCGCGGTTCTGCCTGGGATGTTGCTGGACTGTTAACGTATGTTCACTTGCTCACCTTTCTTAAGGTAACCAGAGCAGGTTCCCATGTCAGCCTGCGTCTTTAAACAGCCACTCCCACCTTCTGACCCTTTCAGAACTCCCACAGTGACTGGAGGACAGTGTTGTTAGTAGGAACAGATGCTCCCTTATACATTTGTTTCTTTTTCCATCCTGAGTTCCTTATGCAGTTCTAATTTTGCATGAGTCATATGTGTATGGGTATTCACACATCCAGAGTTTATAGTACACTGTACCTGTGTTATTTTATATATTACACAGAAATAATGTGAACTGATATGACCAGAATCCACAGAAAAACTAACCTAAGGCTGAGGCATCTGACTCCTCCCAGAAGGAACCCCACCTTCTTTGACCCCTGATTTCACCATGTTCATCTAGGTGAACCTTGCTTAAACCCAAGTTGAACTCCAAAACTGTAAGAGGAACTTAGGAGAAAACTTCCATTGGTTTGTGTTTGTGTAGGTCAAATCTTACATAACCTAGAAAGCATGGGAAAAACATTCCATATACATTTATATAATGTAGATCTGTTCATAATGTTTGCATATTCATGCAAGATATTTTGAACAAACATCAAATTAGCTTTCAATCAATTGATCTGGGAAAGAAAAGTTCCTAGTTAAATTTCCCGGAGATAGCTAAATCTTTATGACCAACAGAAAATATATCACATCTTTTTACAACACCCAAGTCACATGGGCAGGGGCTGTGGGTCAAGGGGTAGAGCGCTTGCCTAGCAAGCTTAAAGCCCTGAGTTCAATCCCTAGGATTACAAAAGAGAAAGGGAGGAAGGAAGGAAAGAAAGAAAGAAAGGAGGAAGAAAGGAAGAAACCCATGGTTTAGCACAAAGAAGCATGCAGGTTACAGTGATGCCCAACTCAGAGCAACAGACATTCCAGATTTTGCAAAATGAGAAGGATCTCCCTGATTTCCTTCTCCTAGTGAAAATGTCCACTCTAAGACCAGAACTAGAACTTGGGTATTGGGATATGGAAGCTTCTGCTTTTGCCTCCATGGCACACAGGTTTGTAATCCCACATGATAGAACATCTTTAGACTGAAATTAGTAGAAATCTATTGACTAGATAAAAGTTTGGATAGAACCGCTTTTTTTTTTTTCCTGACCATGGGCTAACAGCATCAGAACTGAAGGGGACCTGGGAGCTTAAGATGACAACAGAGTGAGAAATAAGAAGGAACCAGGCCAGACTTACTTATAAAACCCTGTAGCAGATAGGCTCACTCTGTCCTGGTATGCAGCTAAGACCTGAGGAGAAGAAACAGCCTTTAGGAAGGGCCAAGTGTGGTTTCCAGAAACCCTAATGCACCACTAAGCTTTTGTGAGCCTTCTTCTGCATCTGGAAGCTGATTGACTCATTTTACTGTGAATTCCACTTCTACAACTCTTACCTTGCATCCTTGCTGCCACCAGTGCACCAGGTCTGCATTATTCCAAGCCTAGAGCACTCCAGCAGCCTCTTAACTGACCTTCCTGCTGCAGGTCATCTCTCCAGCCCAGCCAGGTCATCTTAACGTACCACACTGGTGAGGCCCTCCCCTACTCTTGAACTTTTGATGACTCCCCATTGCCCATGGAGCAAATGCCTGATATAAAGGAACACCATCTTCTCTCTAGCCTTTTGTAGCACACCATTGACACTCCAATCAAACTCAAGTGTGAACCTTCTCCAAACTCTTCTGTAACCCCACATTTAAGTGGCTCCTCTGCTATTTCTGTCCAACTCTTTTTTCTTCCCTCAATGCCTCTTTAATCACCTCTCCTTGTGATTTTGCCCTACTCCAGTCATTATAAAAGCCAGTCTCTGTAGTGTTTAGTTAACCTTGTATTTATAGTTTCCTAGTAATAAACATATCCATCCATACTTTCTTTACCTAATAGATTTTTTTGTACTCCCAGCACTAGCGCAACACTAAGATTTAAGTTGTGCTTACTATAATTTATATCCCTGGCAAGCTCTTTACTAAGTAGCAAATGCTAATTAACACTTTGCATCTGTGATCTTAATATTCTCTACAACCCTACATGATCTGCACTATTATCATCCTTATGCTTGGATGAGAAAACTAAGGCTTACAGAAAAGATTCTGGCCTAGGATCTAGAGGCATATAAGTGTGTATGTACATGGAGGGGATGGATGATTGTGGCTTATTTCTTGGGGCTATCTGCTCACGAGGGACACTGGACTACTGGACTACATGACTGGTTGTGAAGGACAAAACTCAGATCAACAGGTCAGACAAAAGACAATTGTTGTCAAGGGTGTCGTGAAAACATTTTAAATTGCCCGACAAATCCATCCTCAGGCGTAAACTACCAGAATCAAGCTACATTGGAGCAGCATTCATGCATATGGTACTTATGAGTGTGGGAAGGTAAACAGAGGTCATGTGATACGTGGAAAGATGACCAGCTGTGACAGAGAAGCTTGTTGTCTTTGAACCTGTTGGGAGGTGGGTTTGTACTACTTCACTATTAGCTGGTTCTTGTACAGTCCCATTTTATGACAGCTCTCCCATTCTAACTCTAGGGGGCGATGCAACAGAGCTGCCATTGCGATTTCTGCCTGTCGGATGAGCTGCAGCCTCCCACCTGAGAAAGGAGTTCTTGCAGCTTCCCTCTGAGCGTTTCTTGCAGGCAGGTATCTGGTCTAGAACTCCAAGAGCTAGGTTCATTCTTATTGGGAGTTTTGTTCTGTCAGTCCTATAATCACAGGAAGCTCTTGGGACATCTCCTGGTTCTCTCGTGGATGGCAGGTATCCTAGTGGCCCGGACTCAAAAGTTGGGTGAAGGGAGAGGCAGCAGTCCCAAGGATGTCTTTGACTCAGGGAAGTCGAGACCCCAATTTCCACAAAGCTCTCAAGATCGTGGATCAAAAATTTTCTTCTAGTGACTTCCCTCAACTCTGAAAACCATAGAGAAAGGGGCCAGCAAGGTTGAGCTCATCCTTGTCCTGTGAAATCATACAAACCACCTCAACTTCTTTTTGCTTGTGTGACTAGGCCATCATCTCCTACACTTCTCCAGGGTGAGAACAGAGGCCCTATTGTTGTTACTGCCCCTCTCATTTGTAAAAGTGGCTTGGATCAGTTCAGACTTACCCAATCTTCCCAGGAGCCACTGGGATTCTTTTTCTTGAAGGGTTCCAGCCTCTCCAGTATGGTCTGACAAGCCATCTAAAGAAATTCCATACACACATCAGACATGTCAGTCCTCTGTACTCCACAGCCCAGGTGACACTCCAGGCCATGTGTAAAATCCAAGGTCTAGCCCAGCTCAAGGGTGTCACTCAGATAGCCCTGATACTTCCCAGGGGTGACAGAAGCCCAGGGTGGAAGCCAAAAGACCCTAACCAAGGGCTTCCACTAGTCCTTATCTGGAGAGTACTTCCTGAATCAGTTCCTAGGATGACAGGAGGAAACTTTTGAGGGACCCCAGGAAAGTGCTTCCTCCCATCAAACTCCTTGTTTGATTACATCTCCCAAGTTGGAGACAACAAAACTTTGACCTGGCTGATCTCATAATCACATTTTGCTTTTAGCCCATTATCTTGTGACCAGGAAGTATGACTTCCCAGAAGCTCCTGCTTTCCCTCCATCCTCCCTCCTGTTCTGTGCCTGTCTCTCCTGGCTTAAATAGAAGTGATTTTGGTTGTGATTCCCTTTGAGCTTGGTGTTTGGTGGAACAGCATCCTCCCAGATAGCAGAGCCAAAGGGTCTTCAAGGATTCATTCTGGCCCCACCCAGGCGAGCCTCTGCAGGTCCCGGTCCCCAAGATGTCCCTCAGCTGCATCAGCTCCTTACGTAAACAGCCTGACCATTGAGGTCAGCACTGACAGAGGCTGCCGTGGGAGAGGCGTTAGGCACAGTGTTAGTGCTTGTCTCACTGATGTAAATCATGGAGGTAGGGATTTTCAGAACTCTGCTGGCCACCTGTGAAAAGAGAAAACATCATCCTCTAAGGAAGAGGTTACCATGGGCCTTGGCTGCTTTCTTCCCAAGACAGAGTTTAGGTTTACTGTTAAAGGCAAGAAAATAATTTAGTAAATTCTAATCCAATTGATTCTGGGGTATTCTCACATCTGGTTGAATTCTTAACAGCCTTTTTATCACATGTTTTGGTCACCAATGGTGACCAAAAGTGCCTTTTTAAACAACTGCTAGCTTTTTAGAGGGGCCAATCTGACTAATCCTTAGAAGCCAAGCATATGTGCTGACTCTAATCCAGCTCCATTATCCTAGCTCCCTCATGAGGAGTCTCATAGTGTAAAGTCAGCTGCCTTTTCACACACGTCCACCTTACACGCAGAGCCCCAGGGCCCTAACGCTGACAATGGAAGTGACTCAGAGATCACCTGGCCAAACCCTTTGCACAGATGAGGAAACCAAGGCTAAGAAGGGAGAAGGCCACATGAAATATGAGATCCTAGGCCTGCTGCTGCTTCTGGCACATCCCCCTGCTCAATTCCTCACAGCATCTTCCCTCACAACAGACACCACATCCACAGTCTCCAGACTGCTCACCTGGACCATCTTGGTGTGAAGGCCTTGGCCCATCTCAGTCCCCCCATGAGTCAACAGCACAGAGCCATCTGTGTACACATGAACCAGGGCTCCTCCCTAAGGAAAAAGAAGAATGCCAAACACAAAATTTGGCAAATCTTAACTTAGTCTAAGGCTTAAGACCAAAGGTATGGAGCCTAGAAAAAAGAAGAACACCAACAACATTTTAGATACTATCCCCAAACAAAAATTATATGGTATAACTCATGATTTAATCATATAGCCCTTTGGTAGTTAGCAAAGAAAAGGCTTTGATATCTCTCTGTCTGTCATCCTCAGAGACAAGCAGGCCATTTAGCTTCATTCTCCCTCTAGACACAGCATGAGGAAGGCAAAATAGCTTGTACAGTCCTGCAATCTGGAATGGTAAGAACGAGAAGCTGACCTCAGATTACCAAGACTCATGTGTGAATACTGGACCAAGAGGATATGCAAGTCCAACATTCATTTCAACAGCAAATAGCTCCCTGGTGAGCTCTGTTACCAGTGAAAAGGGATTTCCCTTGCAACACTGAAAACAGGGAGCAGAGTGGGGAGAGGCAAGGATTGGAGGCCCAAGTCCAGTGAAAATGGACAATCATGTAAAACAATTACCTGATTCAGAAAAGGAACAGTGAAGCTTGCTCCAAACTTGGTGGGGATTATGCATAGTCCTCTCTTTTTCCAGCAATTCTCCCTGGAGAAAAAGGAACATTCTTTAGAGTCTTCTCTATGTATTGAGGTGTCTGATTGGATATATTTTTGTCAATGTACTTGTATCAAATCAGACAGAACATCCTTAGAGCCACTCATGTAGTCACTGTCATCCTGAGTTATGCTCCAATAGTGTAAACAAGAATGAGAAATGGGGGACTGGAGGCATGGCTCAAGTTGTACAGTACCTACATAGCAAGCATGAAGCCCTGAGTTCAAACCCCAGTATCCTCCCTTCAAAAAAAAATGAGAGGTGGGAATTTGATTCTGGCTCCTGGAGTGCAACTGATATAGAGATCACCTGTGAGTCCTGACTTCAAAGACATATCACTCTTCATTTGTGAGTGGAATCTGCATTTGTCAGCATTCCCTAATGATTATGGACTGTCCTTGACTTAGGGAGGAAGATATTGATGTCCTTTCTGTGTTGTACATTTGCTTATCTGAGTAACTCTGTAAAGAAGACAGAGCCAGTATAATAAGCCCTACTTTGCAGATGGTGAAACTGAGGTCCACTCCAGAGAGATGGACTGACCATCAAAGTCAAATTTATAGATTACTGTCAGAGGCAGGCACACAACCGCAGTGCTCTTAGTCCTCAACCAGTGCACTCAATAAGATGGTGTTCCCAGAAGGCACAAAAGTGCAAAGATGAACCAACCACAACTGATAGACTCTGAAGCTGAATGCAGACGTGGGGCCTCTGCCTCATTTCAAGATCTTAAAGGGGTGGCTATCACTGAGTTGGCAAATTCAGCAATCTCCTAAATTGCCCATTAAATTTTTGGCTCCATAGTTGAAGATTAGTATGAAGTCTATAGAAAAGGAGAAACCCAAGAGAGAATATTGGTCTCCCCCGACTCCCTGTGCTTACTTGTTGAACTTGTCCACCTCACTCCTGCGAGCATAATATTGAGAGCTTGCTAGGCATTCATCCCAGCACCTGGGCAAAGTAAACCCCTCGAGCTTCTGGTTGAAGTGTGTCAGGTCCCCTTCTTTGTACATGTTTTTCCTCCGCACCTTCCCAAGGAGAGAGATTCTTAGGGCTTGTGGTGGCAAGAAACTGGAGGGGGTGGGAGGCAATCTCAAGTTAAGCTTCCAGCCCCCTCAGTGGCACATGCTTATCCTCTGGCCCCATGGGAGATGTCCAAGTAAAAATTCCCTCTTGCCCCAAAGTATGCTAATCCACTCTGACTTAGGCCACCAACTTCCCAGCTTACTTCCTCTGCGGGCAGCCCACAGGTCACTGCAACTTCACTCATCCAGTACTCAGCAATGAGCATCCCCTGAGGTCCCCCAAAGCCCCGGAAGGCTGTGTTAGAGGGCAGGTTTGTCTTGCACATCCGCCCAGTGCCCCGGATGTTGGGAATTTTATAGCTATTGTCCATGTGGAATAGAGCTCGTTCCATTATCTGAAGCAGAGGAAATAAAACAGAAGAGAATGATGTATTGATTTCATTAGATCCTCAAACTAAGAACTCCAAGGGCTATGCTCAGTCCAGCCTCTTCCAGCCCACTGCTCTTCTTCAGACCCAAGTTACTTCAGCTGCACTTTGTCCACCTATGAAGAGCCTCATCCAGTTGTTCTAGGGGGAAGCTATTCCTAGGCCCTCTGGTTGGAACTGGTCACTTGCCTCTTTTTAAAAAATAGTTGATTTTTGTTATTCATCGTAAATTTCCAGTAAACTTGTACTATGCATAGCTTGAAGAGTCAAATACCTCTCTAAGTAATGTTGGGAGGCCTAGCACGTGCCTCACAGACTATCGGCCTCCCCAATTCCTTCCTTCCACTCTCCAGCAGCAGCCACTTATAATTCTCGTAACTTCTTTTTTTGTGGTACTGAGATTTGAAGTCAGGGCCTCATGCTTGCAAGACAGGCACTCTTCCACTTAAGCCACATTCCCAATTCTTTTTGCTTTTTTGTCATTTTTCAGAAAGTCCTGCGTTTTTGCCTGGGCCAGGCTGGATGACAGTCCTCCAATTATATTTCGCCCATAGTTGGAATGGCAGGTGCAAGCCACCACAACTGGTTTTATTGGTTGAGATGGAGTCTCATAAACTTTTTGCCCTGGCTGGTCTCCTATATCTTTCTGATATCTGCCTCCTGAGTATGTAAGATTGCTAGCATGAGCCACTGCACCTGGCTTCTCATAGCTTCTTCTTAACAGTTACATCTCTAAATGTATTTATGTTGCTGTCTTGACTTTTTCAGTTTTAGGCTTTATATTATTTTCCCACTATAAGAAAGGAGGATTTACATCCTGCCTCATCCCTTCTCTCCACAGGCATGCCAACTGCCTATCTCCTAATACAGTTTAATTTTTATCTGATCAATATTGATCAAAATTCAGTTTAATATTACAGCTGAACTATGCAGTTAAACTGTGATTACTTCTCTCTTGTGCATGCTATTTGTGTGTGTGTGTGTGTGTGTGTGTGTGTCTGTGTGTGTCTATGTGTGTTACTGAAGGTTAAACTCAGAGCCCCCAAGTGCTCTGCCACTGGAGCTACAACCCTCTTTCTTTTTTGGGGGTAGGATTGAAGTTTGAACTCAGGGGCTCACAAGCGTTCTATCACTGGAGCCCCACCTCCAGTCCACTTTACTGTGGTTATTTTTGGAGATGGGGGTCTCACAAACTATTTGCCCTGGCTGGCCTTGAATTGTGATCCTCCTGATCACAACTTCCCAACTAACTAGGATTACAGGCATGAGCCACCACACCTGGCTCCAGTCCCTCTTTCTAGATAGCACTTGTTAATCACTGACTTCAGTTTTTCATTTACTTTACTTATTATTAAGATCACTTAAAGTTTCCTCAGTTCTAAAAATATGCTTTATTCTCACTGTAAATTAAACTACATTTTGCCTGAGGATGCCTCTGTACTTGAGTCTTTAGGTAACAAACTGCAACCTAACTTAGTTCATAAACTAACTGGAAGTCTAACATAGACATTGGTAACAAATAGCTGAGTCTCAGTCAAACTCAACAGCCACCCAATCATAGGCAGTCAACCAATCAGACCATGCATGTTCAAATGAGGCAAATGTCAAGCTATAACCAATCAAGCCACTTCTCTAGTTCACATCTGTTTTCATTCCACAAATGCCACCTGTCCATGCTGGAGCTCTCTGGTCCTCTGAGAGTTGCCTGACTCATAAACTATCCTCTGCTCAAACTCTGCTAAATTTGTCTTAAGTTTTTATTTTAACTACATATGAAGTAATATTACATATCTTTACATACATGCATATACATACACACTGTCATCTCACTATTCACAAAGCTTTGCAACCAACTTTGCTGGCTTGGGGAAATATCTTGGACAGGAAGGATGGGTTTCTAATCAGAGGAGTGATATGATCATCCTTGTGCTTTAGAGAACAACCAGGGATGAGAATCTGAAGGTAGGGGCCAACAACAGGCAAGAATCAGTTTGGCCAACAGGCTGTGGGGCACGTGTTTGACCTCCCAGTCATCCCCCATACACACCCCCCCACACAGGGGAGGGTCCTACTTACACCCTGAGAGAGATCCTGGGTGTTCCCTGCATTGCTGAAGTGATCCACCTCCAAAGCCACAATCTTCCCTGTCTTCATGAAGCCAACCTGATTAAAAAAAGAGAGAGTAATTCTCAACAGTGCCCTTCCTCTGCCTGTCTCTCTGATCTCCTCATCCCCATTACCACAGAAAGGTCAAGATATCCCACTATGAAAAAAAAAAGTGCCCTTGAGAGATCACCAGGTTATAACAGGTGGACAGGAACTAAACTAAGCCTGCTCAGTGCTGTGCCTTTGGCTCCTTGACCCTGACACACTGACCCACACTCCACAATCCTTCTACCTGCCCTCCAGCTCCCAAGGGAAGGAGAAGAGAGAAAAGAGGAAGTTGGTCACACTAGGGAGGGTTGAGAGGGCTGGGAACACAAAATCAGAACAGATACTGGAGATTCCCCTCGAAACTTTTGAGCAGCAGATAATAATAGTTAGCCTGTGTGTGTTTTCTCTGACCTCATTTAACCATTAAAAACCCTTTACAGGCCATTGTATAAGTATGGAAAGGGAGATCCCAAAAGATCAAGCTGCTTTCTTCAGATCACAAGAATTTAAGAATAAGAGAAATGCAATTCCTTCCCAGGAATTAAATCATGATCAAAGTCAGAAGAGGTTAAAACAGAGTTGTTCAATGCCAGCTCATGGAGAGGACTCCTAGGTTCAGAGGTATGCTGAGCCCTATAAGTCTATACTGATTCATAGAGTGAAAAGATATGTTGGTCAGAACAGGAACTGGTCCTCCATAGAAGCCCAGCAAAAGGACTGCTCCAGAGAGAAGTTTGGGTAGCTCCTGACCATGTCCTGGGCAGACCAGGCTTATCCTAACAACTTGTGCCTATCTAGGACCCTGAGAAGCAATCATTCTTCAAGCTTACCAACACGTTGACATCAGGTGCCCTGTGTGATGGGATTAGCTTAGGTCTATTGAAAAATGTCTTTTAGCCTGACTGGCCAAAGATCAGATTTATACCATGGCAGATTCACAGAAGACTCTGAGCTTCTCTTGGGAGGTGGCTTGCCAGCTCCTCCAACACGTTTCTAGTTGCTCGTGACTGATTTGAGTTTATCATGAAACCATTTCTTCTTGAATTTCTATGGACAGTCATGTAAAAAGTAAGAGTGAAGTCCAGAGTTCCTAGACCTTTGTTCCCAGGGTCCAATAAAAGGGCTCCTCCCACCCTGACACACCCCCTATCAACAACCTTGAATCTGGCCAGGAAGGGATGTCTGCCACCAGTTATCAGCATATCCTCATCACGGTCCAGCATGCAGCGTACAGGTCGGCCTGTCCTGAGGGGGGCGGGGGGATCAAGGCGGTTAGAAACCCTTGAGCCTTCAGCAAGCACAGCCATGTGAGTTTCAGGGATACAAACAGTAGGGAATCCTTTCTTTTCTGCTTGGCACCCTGAGCAGACCTATACAGGACTGCTTTGATACTGCACTATGATACACAAGATAGGGAACATTAGGACATGAGACCAGTCCTTGCCCTCAGAGAGCTTGCAGCCAGGGAGGGGAGATAAGAGTGGACATATAGATCAAACATAAAGAAACAGATCAATGTTCCTTGTCCTTTTGCCCAAGGGTTCTAAAAAGAGGTTTATGAGAATTCAAAACAGTGTGAAACTACTTCCAGCAGGGGGAAATCCAGAAAGCAAAGGCAAAGGTGGCCTTACTCCTCTTCCCAGTGCCTGCTGGGAAAAGCAGGCTTGGCAACTCACTTGTATGCAGCCAAGGCTACTGCTGTGGACACCACAGTGCTCCGTGTCTCCTTTCCTCCAAAGCCTCCTCCCATTCTCTTCACTCGGACTACAACACGGTTTGCTGGAATGCCCAACATTTTTGCAACAAAGCTCTAAGGGGGAGGGAAGAAAACACACTGATGCATCCTCTGGACTCATTCCAGGCCTGATCCCAGCCTGCTTGACATGCATGGGTCTAATTTCTGCTGTAAATTCTGGAATTCCTAGAGTGAAAATTCCCTCCCCATCCAGGACTGGAGAGGGCTGGGGTCCAGTCACTCATTGGTCACTGCACACTGAACTCATGCTATCCACACCTTGTTGTAACCAGAAGGGAGCGATCACAGCATATGTTCAGAGACAAAGTCATTGGGTCTGGCCAGAGGCTGGTAGGTCAAGAGGGTAAGACCTGCTGCTCTAAATCAAAGCAATATTTTCTAGGCAGTAGAAAATATTCGTGCAGCAGCAGCTAAGTTAGTGATCCCTGAAGCTATCACTCAGCCCAACACCTTCATTTTAAAGATGAGGAACTGAGGCAGGATCTGCCTTGACCAGAGCCATACAGCACTAGAATGATAGGAGCCAGGACTTACCAGGCTCTAGTTCAAGTATTAAAACTCATCTAATTGATGCAATAACCCTATCAGGTTCCATTTTTCAAATGAGGAAACCAAGGCAGGAAATGGTTATATAACAAGTTCAGTGACAGGATTTGGCTACAGGACCACTATACTTAAGTCTCTTTCACAACCAACCCAGATCTCCATCTCCCCATTTCTACCCTGCTCAACTGGCCTGTTAGGGGCTCCCTGGTCACCACCCCAAGCCTCCACTGACCTTAGGTTACATACCTGGGTCTTCATGGTGTTCTGTGTACCTACAAAGAGCTCCATCTCCCCCGCCTCCCCTTTTGGGACAGCGATGGTGCAATTAGTCTCTAGGTAAAAGTGCTCCTGGCCACCAATGTACAACTCTCCTGGGAAAGCAATGAGAGGCCCATGATAAACCCACGACACCCACATAAGAACCACCTACACACAGGTGACCTCTGAGCTCCCCAGCTGGGGTGCGAAAAGGTCAAAGTCATAGCCATCTGGAAATGTTATATCCCCCCCAGTAAAGAAACTAGAATGACACTGAGGTACACAAGGTACAGAGTTCAGTTAATGAAAATTAGGGATTTCTAAAACAATTGTTGTCCTGGGCTTAGAGCTGTGAGCCTAATTTCACAGTTGGAGTCAGAGCAGAAAGAGGACCCAGAAGACAGGAAGAGGAGAGAGCTACAGAGGACAGGTAAGGAGCACCTTCAGGCAGCTAGGGAGGGAGAGGAGTCTGTGTGCTGAGAAGTCTGGCAGACCCAAAGCTGGTCACATCTGTGGCTGCCATTGTTCCTAGACAGAATTCCAAACCAGAAAACACTACAGATAATCTCTCTAGGATCACTTAGTTATTCCCAGCCAAGAGACAAGAGAGTAGAGATTATAATGAGAGAGGCTCTGTCCTAGCCAACTGTACTGTTTTGTTACAGACATCAGAGGGATCTTCCATTGGCAAGTGTTTGGCAATCACTTCCCTGGCCCAGGGCTCCATGAATAGCTCTTGAATTTAATTGCAAACCAGGACCACGCATCACTACTGCCACATGATACAGGTGTACCTGAAACAACATTATCTGCTTCAGAAAATCCCTTTTTGAGGTCTCCTTTCTCGATCTTCATCTCAGATCCATAAAAGGAGTTGTTCTTTATAGCATCCTGAGAATCAAAAAGAAGTTTTTGGTGATATGGTTTTTAGGGAAAGAAGATGGTTTCTGACTGGGGAAAGGGGAGCTCTCTGAATTATTTTCTCTCTCTTCTCATTCATGGGTATCTCTGAGCTTCAAACTTAGACTCAAAGCAAGCTCTACTGCAGCCCAGGAAATCTTGTCCCCCATTTCCTCAGTTGTAGTTAGATAACCCCAGGTCTTTAGGAAAAGTAGAGATTCCCAGAAGGAACCAAACTGAGATGAAATTTGGGGAAAGAGAAGTTCAGTTTGGCTGTTGGTGGGCTGAACCTAAGATTATGAATGGGGAAAAAAAAAACCCGGAATAAAGGATTCTAAAACCCACTTGCAGCTGCTCCTTACTTATGGTGGAGTTGCATCCTGATAAATCTAGAATAAGTTGGAAATACATAAGTCAAAAAAGCATTTATTATACCTAACCTACTGAACATCACAGTTCAGCCTAGCCTACCTTAAATATACACAGAACACTTACATTAGCCTATCCCAATAACAGAAATCCTGCTTTAAAATAAAGTGGCATATATCTTGTGTAACTTTACTGAATATCCCACTGAATGTGAAAAGCAGAATAGTGGCTGAGAATGTTTTTGCACCATTGTAAAGTTGAAAAATCAAAAAAATCATTTAAGTAAAACCAGGGTAATTGGGAACTATCTGTAGATCAAAATCCCACCTGCTGCCCCAACTTTCTCTGGAGGATCCTCTAACTGTGCCTGCAGGGACAGAGCTCACTCCTCCACACTGCTGGCCCACTCTCTGTTACCTCAATTGTGATGATGGCTGGAAGGTCTTCATAGGTAATTCTCACTCCTTGAGCAGCTCTCTGTGCATGTTCTGGGGTGTCAGTGACCACAGCACCAATGATGTGCCCAATACAAGTAACCTAGGAGCAGAGGCAGACTGTCAAAGAATATAACTGAAAACACCCAGTGAAGCAAACTCTTTATGGATTGTTCAAAAAGGCAAAGGAAGTCCTTGCCCTTGTAGTCTGAGCACATTTTAGGAATACCTTGGGGCCTTTCCATTGCTTTTTCTTACTAACTGAGATTACGTGCCTCTTCATGAGTATTTAGAAGCAGTAAGACAGGAATAGGACATAGAGATCACTGTTATCAGGGTAAAAACAGGTTTCATCTTAATGGATAATTCTGGTATTTTGGTTCTGGTGGCCTACTGAGAAAGTGGAGATTGGTTTTACATGGACAGAATGGGAGATACAGTACCAATATGTAATACCCTTGGTCTTCATATGAAGAGATGGAGACCCAAGAGGCAAGGTCCTAATTGGCTGATTATTAGATCATGACTAAATCTTGGCCTTGACTCTCAACTTTAGTATCTTGTCACCACACCACTCTCATGTTTCCCAGATTTATACCATAAGCTCCTCGAAGGCCACAATCATGTCTTATACTTCATCTAGATGCCCAAAACCTAGATTTGTGTAGCTCAAAAGTGCTGGGTCTTAGACTTGACCCATAAATCTTTTCAACTTATAGAATGGTGATTCTTTTAATAATCCAGTTCCATAAAAACTTAATGAATCTCCTTTGGGGATAACATTAATCAAACATCCCCAAAATATAAACCAAAAATTTATATTACTTTGGGATACAAGGTTTCTAACAATAGGAAGCAATACTTAAACATGAAAGTCTCTGATAATTATCTCTTAACCCAAATAAGTTATTGACTTGGTTGGCTAACACAGTATCTAGCTCACTGTCACTCACTAAAATACTCGCAATACTCCTGGGAGCTCTTGAAGTTTGGAAACTGTTTTTCTACTAAAGTCTTTCCTTATACATTCCTTGTTTTCCATATTTGTAGCTTCTTGTTCTTTCCGTCACCTATACTTCACTATAACGTGAACTTACCCCTCAGAACACCTACTCACATCTAATTAGCAACAACGTGTGGAAATTTAAAAATGACCATCTGGGAACTCTGCTATGATTAAAATATAAGGATTTTTATAGCAACTATCTCACAGCTTGAAAACTGTTGTTGCAGAATATCATATAATTTAAATCAATAGATGAAGTTTTATATTAAATAGGTTATGAGTACACATTAGTAGTGGTATTATATCCTCTCTTTTCCAGTTAGTTTAATGTATTCTCATTTTCTTTTAATAAAGGAACTTAATATTACACATTAGGAACCCAACTGTTAATTCAGATGCAATCACCAGCCTTATTTTACTGCCATTTTGGTATGGAATTATCCTACTTTATACAAACAGCAGTCGTCAATTAAATAAACAAGTAACATATTCTATTCCTTTATAGTTTGTCCTGAATCCTGGCCATTGCACAATGGCCATGATATATACAAATTAATCATCTTTTGAGATTAGGGACTTAGAGCAATCAAATTAAAACTTCAATGCTCATTCAATTTATTTCATATAACAAATCCATTTACCTTATCCTCTGCAAAGACTGTTTCATCATTATAAAGTCCAGTTTTGTTACTTCCAGGAATATCTGCTGCCGAGAGGAAGCAAACGAACCCTGGCACCTTCTTAGCTTCTGAAATGTCTATGGACCTATAAGAATGAGCCATGGGAGGGACCAGGTCAGCACACTGAAGCAGGAGACCCATCAGGAGGGTTGGATAACCAACTGTCCTCATTGTAATGAGCCTCCCCCCACCTTAAATTCCTCTCTCTTCTATCCTCTGTTCTAAAAGATCCTAATAGTGTTCTATTCTTTCTGCAAATGTTGAGTAAATGCCTACCATGTGTGTCATTGTGGCAAACACCACTGGGGATATAAAATGAATAAGATGGCCCTTACGTACATGGATTTTACACTGTATGTTGTCAGGTCTCCAGGCACAAAGGAGCCACATCTTGGTGAGCAGCATTTACTCTAGAGAGCTCTGGCTAAAATTCACCTCACCAGTGAACAGCCACGTAGAATCAGCACAAAGGCCTTTGCTGTGTCACTGATCCAATGGCCCTAAACATTTGCACACAGTGAATTTCTCCTCCCACATTAATAGTGCTATCCTAGCTAGCAGGGCGTCCAAGACATAACTAGGTAATCCAAACCTCATAGGAAGAGTGCCTGGAGCGGTTACTCATTATAACCTCTCGTAATCATGCACTGAGCCCTGCTCCCCTCTATTTCCCATGGAGGCCCTGCCCTGTGGAGAGTACAGGGCAGGCACATCTCAGCCAAAGGTCTGGAAATTGCCCTGAAGAAACCATCTTCCCAACACTTCATCCTCACAAGTGACCCTGAAAGTAATTATCATTATCTCCATTCTACATGTGCAGAAACTTGAGCTCAAGGGAGTTGGGTAGCTTATCCAAAGTCACTCAGCAAGAAAGCAATGTAGCTAGAATTAGAGCTGCAAGGGAGTTGGGTAGCTTATCCAAAGTCACTCAGCAAGAAAGCAATGTAGCTAGAATTAGAGCTGAGATTAGCTCATGAGGATGCCAGAGTTGGCTCAGCTTCTGCCTTAGCATGCATACTTCAAAGTGTGAGCAGGCCATAAAAGCCACAACTGCCCATCCACCATCCTCCTACATCCACTCACACTGCTTGGTAGAGGTTGTTGGAGTATATACAGTATAAGTCATGATACTGTCAACATGGGCTGAAGGCAGGGACAAAAGCAAAAAAATTCAGTCTATAGCTGGACACCATATCAACTGAAATAAACCTTTGTATCATAGGCCTGGAAAAGTTTCAGTATTTGTTAGATTTTATGTGTGTCTGGCTCACCATTCTTAGAGCTTGCCTCCAGGCTTGGAGCAGCAGTGGAAAAAAAAACATTGAGAAGGAGACCTGATTAGCTATGGAATGGCAGAGGCCAAGGGAGGGTTTTCCTGACTGTTGTACTCCACTGTGGACTCTGTGTCTACTGTCACCAGGTGTTGATGTTCACAATCTCTGGTTTGAACATCCAGAGGCAAATGCTACTTGACTTCAGACTCCACCACTTATCAACCTTATGGCCTTGGGCAAGTAACTTCTGATGCTTGTGCCTTACTTTCCTGGGCTGCGACAGAGGGATAATAATAGGACCTGCCTCTAGGGTTGTTGAGAGGAATAGATAAGTTGCTATGTGGAAAATGCTTGAAAGGAGGTGGTGGCAAATAACTAAGCACCATATGTGTGTTATATATTATCATCATCATAATTATTAAAGTGACAACTCTTGATGTTTAGGTTCTTGATGTTCAACAAACACATTCAAATGACTATCTCTGTAGGTATAGCATGGACAGATCTCTAGTCCTCACAAATGCCCTATTACAGGGAAAACTAAGAACTTCCAAGTAAAGGCGTAGGTCTCAATGGCCAAGCCCTGGAGCAGGTATTCACTTCCAGCTCTGCTTTAGTGCTAACTAAAAGTCTCTGAAAATGATGCACTTAAGTTTAGCCCAATATCCAAAATGCAAACCTATCCTGGCCCTGTTAAGAGCCTGTCGGCAGCTCCCATGGCTTTTCAGGCCAGGTGTAACCTCCCTGCTTAGCATTCCCAGGCTTTTCTGATCTGCCCCTACCTGCCTCTCTGATGGCAGCCCCCTCACTCTCCCACGAGCAGATCTGCAGACATCACAGAGCTCTAACTTCCTACTCCTCCTGAGACGGTGGTTTGAAAGAATTGTCTATCTTCCTCTCCAGGCTGGGAAGTCCTGGAGGAACCTTGTTATCTGTGTATCTCCAGATGACTCCAGTACCTCTCCCTGGAACAGCACTGGCACCTCAGAGAAGCTGCACTCACGTGATCTTGGCATGGGCCCTAGTGCTGGTGACCAGCCGGAGAGACAGCTCATTGTCATAGCGAGGGATGTCATCACAGTACACAGCCTCCCCAGAGGCCTGCATGTCCGCTGCCAGGTGGGGAAGGGGCCGGCCCACCATGTCTTCCTCAGGCTGATCCTTGGGTACTTCCTGTAACATGGTCACCAGTCAAATGCAACCATTAAAACGTACTTCTGAATAATCTTAATGAAAAGTAAAGAATGCTCACAGTAAAGTGTAAAAGCAAGACATAAAACATTCTGTATGTGTATATAATGATTCTAATTCTGTATGAAAAAATCTACTATAAATATCACATGTGCAGGACAATGTATGCATAAGGAAATTGAAGAAAACAAAATACGATTCTCTCTTGGAAGTAGGATTTTGGATGGTTTTGATTTTGCTCTTTATACATTTCTATATTTTTCAAAATGTTTAAGATGTATTAATTTTTTAATAAAGTCCTATTTTTGTTTTTCAAATTCATAAGATATCTAATATTTATTGAATACTTACTGTATTCTAGAAACTATCTAAACAATGTTTTTTTTTTTTTTGGTATACTGAGCTCAGGGTCTAAGATCCTCCTACCTGTATGTGCCAGCACTCTTGGCCTTACAAAATTCACCCATTTTATTGGCACAGTCAATCCTCAAGCATCCTGTGAAACGGGTACCATTATCATCCACATGCGCAGGTAGAGCTAATTAACTTGCCCAAGAGGTGCCCAGTAAGAAATTTGTTATGAAATGGAAGAACTTGAATTCAAAGCCAGGCAATCATATCCCAGAGTTCACATTCTCTACATCATAGCTCAGAGGTCAGCAAATGGTAGCCTTTGGGTTAAATTTGGGCCACGGCTTGGTTTTGTAAATAAAGTTACTGGAACATAGCACATTCCTATATCTGCTTTTGTGCAGCAATGACAGAAATAAGAAGCTGTAATAATGACCGTTTAGCCCACAAAACCCAAATGTTTACAGGAAAATTTTGCTGACCCTTTACTGTGTACTTCTCAAAAAGTTTCAGTTGAGAGAATTATTTGTGTGTGTGGTATGTGTGTACGCACTCAAGAAGACTTCTGGATTTGTACATTAGCCCCACAGAGAGGCCAGAAAAGATGAAATGGAAACATGTTTTCCCTTTAAGGAACAGGTTCAGAAAAGAGCCTAATCCTAAGAGAGAAATTTAGGCCAATGAAGGAGAAATAGCCACTTTGACATCAATATGATTCCCACTTTCTTCCCTGGATGTTTATGTACAAGCATAAGGAGCTTTGTATATCTACATACAAGTCAAGTTAGTCATTCACCATGGGTCAACCATTAATCATCAGAAGTGGCTTGCAGAAGCCCTGATACCAGCACACACTGTATGTACTCACTTGGAAGAGCTGGACGTTGGCTGGAGGGTCTTTCTGAAAGAGCAGAGTGGCACTGGTGAAGGTGGGATCCAGTCTGCCACACTTCTGTAGAGGTGAGACAGCAGAGGTGGTCATGACTATGCTGCACCATTGATCACTGCGCTGGTGTCCCAAGTAATAAAGGTGGTAAGTATCCCTCATCCCCTCACTTTTAGCTGCTGGATGGATGTATCTCAGTATCCAAAGTGGGCTCTGAGAGGCCACACTTAATGACCACCTCAGCTTCATCTGCACCCACCCTGATCCTGTCTGTACACTGAATGGCTTGCACTTTCTTCAACACACCAAACTTTCCCTCCTTCCTGCATTTATGTGCACTGCTTTCTCTGTTGGGAATATCCTTCTCCCCTAGCTTTCCTGGAAACGTTTTCCTTGTCCTCCTCAATCCTGTGGGAAACATTAAATTACATGGAAAATGTTCACAAGATAATCTCAACTAAACCAAGCAGGATCTAGGACTCAGTATGCAGCATGATCCCAAATCTGCTTAGAAAATGAAATGTCCTGATTAAAGATAGCAAAATGATAGCTACGTTGATAGACGGGTGGCAAGACAGGTAGAAACAGGGAGAGATGGGGCAGACAAACATCGTGACAGACAGATGGACAAAAACAAGTGTAAGGAAAAGAGCACAGGAACAAACCAAAATCTTAACCATGACTTTGAGATCTGAGAGTAGGGGCAATTTTAGTTTTTCTTTATACAATTCTGTATTTTGTAAGTTTTCTAAAAGTCCCTACATGTCTATAATAAAAAAAAGAAGTACTATTAATGTTTTAAAGAGGGAGTTAGCTGTGCTGTGTCTGCATCTGTACAGCTTTCTCTCCTCTGTGCTCCTTCTATACTCCCTCTCCTTAGTTGTCACACCAGCTGGCCTTTGTTGACTTCTTCTCTATCACACTAGGCTGCCCACTCCCACTCCCACTCCCACACACACCAAGGTTAACATGGTGCAAAATAAATAAGAAATGCTTGTTAGTGGAGACATCTTGGGAGTTGAGTCCAGCTGTCTACTGAGCGCACGTTCTCATACATCCACTTTGCATCTTACTTTCTCATCCCTCTCTACCTGCTTTACATTCTCTGCCCTCCTTCTGCACCTCAAAACTACCACCGCATCAATTCTGCTTCCAGAAGGTCCTTCTGGTCCACCTGCCCTTTTGCAGAAACCACATCTGGGACACAGAGTCATAACTACTCAACTTCTGGATGACTGATGACACAGGCAGGACAAGAGCCCATGTCCCTGATTCCAAGTCAGCTGCTTGCCTCCCATCTCCATGGTTCCTGAGCTGCATCCCTGGTGCACCACCCAGACCAGCCTCCCTAATTCCCAAACATCACTCTACAAAGACTCTGCACGTCAGTCTGCTCCACACTCACATCATCAGGGTGCTCTTTGCCCAGCTTCTGAAGCACCATCAGGTAGAACTTGAAGAAGAAGCTGAGGGTGAGGGTGCGCCGAAACTCCACCATGCCCCCGGGGGCATCGGGGGCCAGGGTCAGCTCCTCTGCCAGGCCTGCACACACGTCCTGCAGCAGCTCCTCATTCCAGAACCTTCCAGAAAGCAGGGCATGTTGTGTGCTACCTCCCACCCACCTCTATCATGTTGCATTGAATCACAGCACCCAAGACCTCTGGCTCATGAAAGCCTCCTTTCAGAAGTGGCTCAGATTCTTAGAGCTACATCGCTTCATACAAGTTACTTAACCCTTGTGGGCCTCAATGTCATCTTTAAAATACATGCAAGTTTTAAAAATCACAAGAATAATAATAGTCAGCTCTATCAAGTCCTTACAATAATGCTAAGAAAAGTCCAATGCTTTCTGTGGGTCATCACTTCTAATTTAATTTAAATCCACAGTAGGGGGGGGATCCTCATATCCATTTCATCAATGAGGAAACTGAGGCACAGGGAGATTAAGTAACTTGACTCGTGTTATTCCTCTGCTGAGTACTGGAGCCAAGGAGCCAAAGTTCAAGGTAAGCTTTATCTCTTCTGTGTGGTTATTGTAAGGATTATGTAATGCCAGTGATGTGCTTGGCACAACTGCTGCCATATCTGGTCATGGTAATAGTGGTGCGACTAGCAGCAGTAACAGTGGCAGTGGCAACAGCACTGGCAGTGGCAATACCACTAATAGTAAAAGTAATGGCAATGACAGCGACAGCAATGATAGCAGTAGAAGTTGACGCAGTGATAATAGTAGAAGAAGTGATAGTATTGGCAGGGTGACAATAGTGGCAATATTACTATTCACAGCAGAATTAGCAGAGGTAATAACACTACTACCAGCAGTAGCAGCAGCAATAATACCAGCAGCGATTTCAGAAAGCCGCAATAACAAAATCAGCAGCAGTGACACTGCTACTAGTAATAATAACTGCAGTCACTCTCACAGCGATAGTGACGGTGGCAGAAAGAGCAGTCGTGACAGTAATAGCAGTAGTAGTGCTATTAGTATAAATACTGCAAGTGTCAGTGGTAACAGTAGCAAAAGAAGTAGTAGAGAGCATAGTAATAATAAGACAGCCACAACGGTAACACTACGTACAGTAGCGGTAGTCATAGTGATGTTAGAAGTGGTAGGAATAGTCACAAGGACATCAGAAGGAAAAACAGCAGTAATAGCAATAATGATAGTAGTAATAGCAACAGGAACAATGCTAGTAGCATTTAGTAGTGATTGTAATAGGAGAAGCAGCAGAAAGAGCAACATCTGCTCCCGCTGCATCTGAACTGATAGTAACAGCAGTAACGATAGTGTTAAAAGTAGCAGCAGTAACAATGATGATGGAACTAGAAAGCAGTAATAATGCAGCCATGTGTCACTTGGTGATGGAGAAATGTTCTGAGAAATGTGTCATGTCGGAGGAGGGGGCTTTCTTCCCTGTGGAGAAGCTAGAAGGCATAGCCTACTCTTCAGGCTGTGTCAGCTTCTTCTAGGAGCCCATCGATCCTCGCCTACAAAGCGTGTACTGCGGACAACTGTAACACAGTGGTAAGTATTGGTGCATCTACACGTATGTGAGTATAGAGAAGGTAAAGTAAAGATAGTAGGTAATGGGAATTTTTCCACTCTATTGTAAACTTATGGGACCACTGTCATCATATATGAGGACTGTTGTTGACCCAAATGTCATTACCGTGTGCATGACACATTAGTGGCATTAGTAACAGCAGCAGCAATGGGCAGTATTAATAAGAGAAGGAGCACAGTGGTAGTACTCTTGACGTCACGGTCATGGCAGGAGCTGCAGTTCCATTTCGTGTTATCTCTTACTTGGACAGCTGCTTCGTGGTAGTCTTGAGGGTTGAGATGGTTCTGTTAGCCATTCCTCCATAGCAGAGGGCCAGCTCCTTTACCTCTGTGGTCCCTGGCTTGAACAGGACTTTCATGCCACTGGTCACCTTCGCAATATCATCTTCTCTCCGAGACGCCTGCTTGAATGCTGAGAAAAATTCACCCTGAAACAGAACAGGTAGATGCCTGTCCTTCACCTTGTTTGCAAAGACTGCAAATGGCCAGCCTGAAACACAAGTCTGTGAGGTCAGGAGAGCAGAGGTGAGGTGAGGTGAGACGATGACACCCTCGCAAATCAGCAGAGATCTGGTCTAAGAATCAAAGACAAGATATAACTGACTACATTTGTAGGAGTTCCAGATCACATTCCCAGAAGCTGGAAAGGGTCAGGATTTTCTCCCCTCAGGAAAACTGAGTCAGGGGCCAGATGTTTTCCACTGAGCAAGCAGCTGGGAGAAGGAAGGGTACCTCCATGAAGGCCCCCAGATACCCACTCTGGCACCCAGTATCAGAGCAGCCCGATCTCTCCAAAACCTGCATTGAAACCTCACTTGGCCTGGTGGCCTCTCCAGTAGGACAGGGAGATATCACACACTGTGTGAAGCCACCTCACTTGAGGCTTTCCGGGGTGGCACCTAACTTGTCCTCCCATCTGTGCCTAGGTGACTTGGAGAAATCCTGTTTCCTGAGAGTCAGTGTCCCACTGTGAGTCAGTGCTGCCTTTATGCTTAAGCAAGCATTTCCCCTGGGGCCAAGCCTGTGTCTGTCTCTGGGGAGAGGACAGTGTGAGCCACGTTCCAGGGAAGAACCATCAGATCCTGACCCTTGTGTCAGGTGGTCCCTGAGGTTTGCACACACCCTGACCCCACACATTCCCGTTAACATTAAAGGTCTTTGCTCTGATGGAGACATGGAGCCACTCCTGATGACTAAGCCAGTTCAGACTTCTGAGTGACAACATGACCCTGGGACACTGAGCCCAGGGTTGAACTTGGCTTTGGAGCAGAGGGTCCAGGTGCTCACTTCCAGGAATGTGCCTGTCCTTGTGACATTTTCACTTGATGCCACCAACTGTCATCATCAGAGTGATAGGCATCCTTTCTGGAGAAAGTTTTCTAATTCAGGGCATTAAAACCTCGTTTCTTTTAAGAATTGATGGTTATTGTTAATGACCGTACATGACAAAATAAAAACTGAATGTACTAAGCCTGTTTCTTCCCCCTTTCCCTACTCATAATTTTTTTTTAAAAAAATTAGTGATCTGTGAGATTCAAAACCCTGAGAATCACTGCTCAAAATGCTCTAAAAGACAAGTTGGAAAATCATTAAGAAGCCACCTCAGGGACATAATCGCTATAATTGAATTAGTATTCTCATTAAGGAGGTCAAAACCAGCAAAGGCAAACACGCCTCACATATTTGCTAAAGCATTAGCTGGGTGAACTTTCACTCTCCTCCATAGCTGCTTCCCCAGCTTCTCCCAGAGGCCTTTTCTGAAAGGCCCATTGTGGACCTGTCCTGAGTTGGTGGGTGCTGACAGCAGAGAGAACCATATCAGATTAAGCCACCCCAAGTCCCAGAGAAGAAGTACAAGACAGTGAGAGGCCCCTAGATCCGCCTGAACAGGCCAGAATAGCTGTTCTTGAAGCAAAAACCCACCATGCCAGCCCGGAGCAAGGTCTGTGAGCCAGCACCCCATCAAGGCCATGTCTGCATGTAAGAATCTGACTCGTGGGCTGCTTCTTCACTCACCATGTGGGGCCTACATGACACGGAGCAGGAATACCCTGTGGCTGGACATGTTCTCAGGACTGTGTTTTTAGCTACAAGCTCATGATTCTAACTGGCTTCCAGACATCTGCCAGGAGCCCGAGGAGTTCTGCATTCTCAGTCTTCACAATGACCTGCACAGCAGGTACATTGTGTCTACTGCAGCTCAAGTGGTGAGATGATGCTCTCAGGATCCCATGTCTAGCTGTCTGCTTCATAATGCAGGACTTGGGCACCTGTACACGTCTACCCTACAACTTCTCATTGTCCAGAGAGGATAGGGTTGGTTCATCAAAGACAAAGTTCAGAGAGAAACAATCAATGTCAAAGATGGTCCCAAGGCAGACTTTGGGCTGCTTATCTGGAACTCAGCAATGGACTTAATTTGGCCAAAACCTGTACCAACTCCTGCCATCTCACCTCCCTGCTGTAGGGGATCTCAATGGACAGTAGTATCTCCTCTGGACTGAGCAGGGTCCTTCTGTAGCCAGGGAAGAAGGTGTGGTCCATCTGAACAGTTCTCCTGGTGCCTATGTAGAGACAGAATAAAGAAGACCATGTGGAAAGGCTGGGTTCACATAGACAACAAGGACAGTCCACCAGTGGAACTGGTTCTTTTCTGCAATCAGATGGAGCAGCTGGCACATTGGAGCCAAATCCTCCATGTGAAATCCTTAAGTAGTGAGCGCTGCTGAATGTCAGCTTTCTGGAGCTGGTTGTAACAACCAGCCCTGATACGTAGCATTTGCCAGTCTGTGGTGCACATACTCCACCTACAGCCAATTCCAAACAACCAATGTTGCCATCACTGAATGTGAAGTTAGCATGGGGACAACAAAAAGTTATATGGCAGCCCTGACTGCTATAAGATGCTTGTAAGCCCTGACTGCTTACAAGATGGCAGTAGGCCAGCATCTGGGAACTTGGATTTCAGAAGGGTTCCCACCATTTCATAGTAAGAGTGGCCCACTGTGTAAACTATTGGTACAAACAACACGGCTTATGCTGAACATCTGCTTGCTTTCTGGGAATCTGAATTTCTGGAACATGCCAGGCAGCACTGCCTAAATCCCTGAGTACCAAGTCTTTATCTGACATACTTCCCGATAGACAATACGTGTGTTGTCACAAACTCACTGCTGGGGAAATTAAGCCTGTCTTATGAGTCCCCTGGGAGAGGGTTCTGGAAGCTTGTGCCTGTATGGAGACAGGAGCATTCTCCCTTTGCTGATTTTTCTTTGTATCCTTCCGCTGAAAGAAGTCATAGTCATGACTATATGCCAAATCCTCTTAGCAAATCCTTAGACCTGAGGGTGGTCCTGGGGACCCTCCAACGAGCCAGAGAGGCACAGGAGCACACCACTGAAGGTACAGTAGGTAAAAGTAGCTTCAAGAGCATAGACAACAGTCAAATGAAGTAAAATAGGAGTGATGAATTTTGAGCATTTCCTACCTTTGTTCTGAAAATATTTTATTTCATTGTATGTTTACATAATTTAATTTTCAGTCATGACTGTGTTTAACAATGGCTCACAGATTCCTCATAAACCATCATTCACTGTGATGAGAAGATACATTCTGGACCCCGTCCACCCCCAGATGAGACATCCAGGTAACAAGTCCTGCTGTGAATCCTCTATAAGGAAAAGGCTCGGCTATCCCAGTCCCCAACCTGGGTGTATCCCCTGCAGCTTCCATGAATCCAAACTTCAAGAGAACGGAGCCACTGAACTTTTCTGGTTCTCTGGAAAATGACCTATCTGATGGGACTTTTCTTCTACACCGTTGTCTTTCTAGACCTCTGCTTTAGGAGGCTCACCTCTGGACACGAGAGTCAGCCTGGCTCCACTGGCCATGAACACAGGGTTGAGGTCGGAGATGGGGCTGGCAGTGATGATGTTCCCTCCAATGGACTAGGACAAGCAGAGAGAATGAGAGCCTAAGCAGGACTCATTCATGCAGCTGCTCCTGCATACAGGGCAGGGTGTGACAGCTGCTGCAGGGGACACCCAAGGACCCTCATCCCCTATAGAAAGACACAGAGCAGCATAGCCAGAACATAGCTCTTCAGGAAAATATGCAAAACCGGAATCAGAATACTTGGGATAGGGTCCCATCTCTGACATCCAAGTCAGTAACAGAGGTAAGCTCTTTCAAATTGATTACCCTCATTCAACCTTTGAATGAGGTGGCTATCACAAAAGCTGTAGGCAGTTCATAAAATGAAATAAAAAACAAAGATCAAGGAAAACTTAAGGATGAACATTTTGCTCTCTTTCCATCTGAACTTCTGGGCAACTTGGCAAGAACAGTGGAAGAAGAATCAGCAGTTTCTCATTACTGGAAATGAGGAGGAAAAACAGAAGGCAATGTGAATAAAATCCTTCCTAGAAGTAGATTTAGCAGAACTGGGAATTGGGTGGAGCTTTTGTGCTTCCTCATCTGCCAACAAAAGTGGCAGGTGTGTGGGCGAAGGGAAGGGGAGGGGAGTGGCTATATTGTTCTTTTCTGCTTAATTTTTAAAAATAGAAAAAATAGAACAGAAGGGATATCTCACTGTTGTAAACCCCAAATGGCCCAGTGTATGCGAACTCCAGTATTTGCAGACTGGGAATTTCAGGGCTAGTTGGAAGGCTGACTTAACTGTCGACAGGTGAACGTCTCCCTCCTCCCTAAGAGGCTTTGTCCCTGGTTCTCTGCCACTCTGAAAGGAGTCGCCTCAAGTTTGGCTTCTCTATAATACAGCTCTCATTCACTTGCTGATAGCCTCAGTCAAGTTCAGGGAGACGGAGGCAGGAAGCTGCATCTCTCCAACTTTAAGGGCAAAGACTGTTTCTCAGATACCCCTTCTTCAGGAGCACCTGGGGACTTGTTAAAAACTTGACCCCTGGGCTCCACCCTGGATTCACTGAGTCAGAACCTGTGGGTGGGGCCCAGGAATTTGCATTTTAATTAGTACTTCAGTCAATTCTGAGCACTGAAGTTTGGGCTCACTGGGCTGAAGCAAGAGGGAACCCACAGCTGACCCCCCTGCCTTCTGATGAGAGGCCCCCACCTATCCTGTGATCAGCCTGGCTTTGACCAGGGACTCACCGCCACAGACTTGACCTGATTGCCAGCAAACCAGCGCAGCTGCTCCAGGACTCCTCTGAACACCTCTGTCTTATGGATGGGAAGCTGAGCAACTGCATCAACCAGGACCTTTTCCACAGAACTCAGGGTGCAAGCGGCTCCAAAGGTGATACCTGGGAACACGTGCAGAATAACAGCCACCCTTCTATAGCTCTGAGGAAGCTTTCATATGCAGCCTCTGTGAAACCCAAGCAAGGCTGAACCAGGGCTGACTTTTTATAGGAATTAGGAAGTTAGGGCCCAGAGAGGTTAACAATGTAACCAATGTCACACAGCTAATAAAAGAGAACACAAGGCCAGGCCTTTGGATTCTGTAACAGGTATTCTTCTCTCTGAACCAGTGGTTCTTAACTCAATCAAATCAAAATCTCTGGGGCAAAGTCCTGGCATTTTCTTAAAAAAGTTCCTCGTCTGTCCAGCTCAGCCCCCATGAGTGTAGTCAGGACTAAAGACACTAATGCAAATCTCACAGTGTCTTCTTGCCTGCTGGCACCTGATCATGAATGCCAGGTGAAGGAAAGGCAATGAAAGCTGCCACCTTCCCTCACCCTCCCTCTTCCTTGTGCCAGGCTGGCTCCACGGGAAACAGATGACAGCCAAAGCCAAAGGACAGGCTTCCCAGCACCTCCCTCTCCCCTGACCTGACCCAGTGTCATAGCCGGCTGTGGGCTCAGGAGAACCCCTTACCCTCAGGCCCATGCTCCACCGAATTCAGCTCAGGGATCCAGGCTGGGCAGACAATCAAAGGAAACAGCATGTTCTTAAACTTCATCTCAATGCCTTAGAGAAAGGAGAAGCCTGGCATTACAGATCTCAGTTATCACACATCACACACAGGATGGGAGACATCTCCATATCACATGCTCTGGGGGGGGGGGTGGTCCTCAGGATTAAGAGACACAGCAAGCAAGGTTGGGAATTAAGGCAACCCTAATCCTGTGTCTTTCTCTCCCTCTCAAAAAACACCCTATCCAAATTCAAATCCACTGGAATTCATTATAGTGTTTGTGTGTACAACATTAACAAAGGGTGTTAGGGTATGGCAGAAATTCTTCTAAGCGCTTTATCTATTTCAACTCATTTAAGTTCAACTCTCAACAACCCTATTATGTACTGTGGTTTTCTGCATATAGAAAACGTAAAGCACAGAGAGGTCAAGTTTTTTGCCCAAATTGCACAGTTAAGAACAGGCCCATTTCAGTACTTGAGATACTGTGTGTGTTTGGGTATAACAGTAATAAAAACATGAAAGTCTGAAATAAAAGGAAAATGAGAGATAGAACTCCAATCCACCTTCCAGTGCCCAATATCTGCCTGAGTTCTTCAAGGCGCCTGGCTTTGCACGGCCACAGGTTTGTGTCGGCTTCTCTCCTTCTGGCTAGTAAAGTTAAAGACCTCTGTTAAATAGTGGCACCTCTGTTCCTTAGTCCAGGTTGGTGCAGCACCTCTACCAATGCATCAGTAGGGCCACAGACAGGAAAGGTTACACCCCACCAGTTTCTGCTTTAGGACTTCTGACAGGTGGCCCCTGCTTTGAGGAGTCCAGCTTACGTGAGAGTTGCTGAGAAAGGCATTGAGTTTTCTCTGTGCCCTCCTTCGCCCAACACCCTGCCCTGGCTGTGAGGAATTCAGGTGAGATGGGTGTGTAAGGAGGAGGAGTGAAGCAGGTGCAGGTACAATTTGTAAAACCTTTGGGAGTTCCTTTCCCTTGGAATCCAGGCATCTTCTGACTCATGGCGAGGACCATGTCCATGTCAAAGATCTCCCAAAATTTTTCCAGCCACCTTATATCATGCTACCCCTGCACCCTAGGGTCTTGGCTCTATAGTAAAGAGAGCACCAAACAGCAATAAGTCCTGTTGAGCCACAGCCATGAGGACCACTGAGGCACATTTCACAGCCTTGCCCCCCCCAACCAGAGTGTCACAAAACCGCAGCTGGGGACTCTGCACAGCCACTGTACTCTTTCTGAGGGCAAGGTTAGTGCTACCAAGCCAGGCCTTCCTCTAACCAGAACCCAGTTGTCAGGCTCCTTCAGGAACCAGAGTTGGAAGGCTCCCGTGAGTTATACTTGACTACTTAAGAGTGTGGCATGCCCTCCCCAAACCAGAGGTCCTCTAAGATAAACCTCCACTGTGCCATGATCCTCTCCTTGGATCCTCACTAGGCTTGGGACCCAGCAAAGCCAACTCTGGGTTAGAAGTGGATGGAGGGTAGCAGGGACCTGGGCCCTCCCTCTCTGCCATCTTTCCCTGTCACACAGAGCACCAGGACTGAGAGTTGCATGTCTTGAGCCTCCCTGGCGTATTAACTATTCTGGGTTCCAAGCTGCAACTGATGGCACCGTCCCAGGCAACATAAACGTCCCAAGACCTTACCAATCTCGGTGTTCCCCACCACCAGCTTGGCATCGGGGTGCTGAGCTTTGAGGTCCAGCAGCTCCTGCAGAGTTGAGGCCTGGATCCAGGTCACACGCTCCCCTTCAAACCGCAGCTGCTTCTGAGGAGTGTCTTTCAGTCTCTGGGAAAGGACAGACTCTGTGGTTGGCACTGTCTCCTCTTCCTACCCCACTCCCCTGATAAATTGCTTTCAGTCTGCAATGGAGTCAGCTCCTCTACTGACCAGTCTAATACTGTATTCAGAAGAGAGGTCTGGACATGCTAGGGAGAAGCGAGGGGAACCACACGCATGCAGGATCTCTGAGGAGGTGTGGAGGCACAGCAGCCCACCTCATCTTGGGCAGACCTCGGGGAAGGAAACATTCTAAGCTTCATTTTAGATACAGGAGCAACCTGAACGTCATGGCGGTTATGCAACCTGCTTAACCTCACACCATGAGGGGCCCAAACTGACTGGCTGAAGACTCAGATTCTCTGCAGTTCCCACACTTGTCCCCAGGAGGTATAATGGACAAGGTGGGAGAAGGGACAGAGGTTTGGAGGATGGGTGTCAGAAGGAAATGCAAAAGAGAGGTGACACTGGGTGGGGAAAGAAAGTCCCAAAAATCAAACTGATGGTGTTTGCAAGGTTTCACAATCTGGAGAAAGATAAGCCTGGAGCCAGCTAAAAGATGCATCTCCCTGCTGAATCTATAAGGAAATTTTCATGTGCCTGCACCCTCAAGAAATGTGCATCTGGGAAACCCGGAGAGGGACTGGATTCTTTTCCTTGCTATAAATGCTGGAGTGAAGGTGAGGATGTGGATGTAAGGAAATGTCCTTAAGATGGAACTGTTAGCCATGGACCATGTCCTTTAACCTTTGTTTGCTTGTTTTAAATAAATAGACTGCTTAGAGAGAGGAAAATAGGTGACTTGTAGGCTTACACATTAAATATCCAGGAAGTCAACAAATAGTTGTAGAGCACCTGCTATTTCCAGTCCCTTTCCTTGTGGGGCTTATGATTTAGCGAGGAACATAGACAATGAATTGAAAGTATGACACATATAAGAAGTATAGCGTACTGTGGAAGCATGAGCCAGAGGGTGTCAGAAAAAGGAAGAGGATCTAAAGGACAAGAAGACATACAGTTCTGTGGTAAGAAAGTAAAATAGGTATCAGTACCTCTTGGAAAAGAGGCTTGGCTGGACTCTCCCTGTCATTACCTACCAGCAGCTCTGGGGGGAAGATGGGTTCCTGGGTGGGATCCAGAGGTGTGAAGTCCTCTGGCTTAAACAAAGATGGTGAGAGAGTGATCTGCAGGGAAAGAGAACAAGTAAGTGGTATAGCCTCTCCTTTCAGATGCCCAGGAGGATTGCTCCAGCCCTTTCTCCAGGTGAGTGCTGCCACTGGCAGGCTGGTGGAGGAGGGCAGGCAGCTCCTGGGAGGCAGGAATAAGAGGTCCTGTTGGAGGATCCAGGGCTAATGAGAGCCTTCAGCACCCTCATCATCTAAGCTTCACCAACTCTCATTGTCACTCCCTCCTCCAGCCACTGCTGCAGGGAAGCGAAGAGAGTATAGTGACTCTTCTGAGTCTGAGATTGCCCCCAGGCTTCCAGGGGCAGAAGGACCCACTTACTGTGTGGTCTTTCTTCTGGTTCATGCAGCAGTTTGGATTGTCACTCTGTCCTCCACAACACCCACCATCCTAGAAAAATGACAAACATTCACACAAAGATATCTGTAGAGTTTTCACAGAATTGAAGGAGACTTGATTATGAATTGCTTGTGATTCCTATCGTGTCAACAGGAGGAGCAGAGACCTCCACTCCACCCCACATGCCACCATGCAAAGAGTTGATATCTCTGTTACATTCTTGCTTGACTACTGAAAATTAAACGACTCATGGATAAACACATTGGACATAGGAGTCACAAGGAAATTTATTCTCAAGGAAATTTCTCCATGAAAGCTAGGTCCTACTTTATGTAAATATATCATTATGCCCATTTTCCTTCTTTTCCTACGTGTTACCTCCTTAGGAAGCCCCTAGGAGAAAAATTCTCATTGGTTCCCTCTAGACACAAGATGTGCTACTTCTAGATCAGCCAGGTTCTATGGGGCTTGGCTGGGTGGGTCCAAGCCTGGTTTCTCTGAGGTTCCCTGCCAAGGACATCCAAGAACAGTGCTGGTCCCAGAAATGTGTCCAGCCAGTTTGCCTCCCCACCACTTATTAGGTACTTCCCACTAAACACTCTCTTCACTGTTGGTCTGTTCTGGAGGAATGGTACAGGCTGGATCACCATCACCTATGGGGAAGGACCTGCCTAAGACCTCTCAGGAGGCCAGTGTCAATGCACAAATAGAGCACAGAATCACTTCCAGAAATGAGGACTTTCGGGATGGAAAAGGAATGTGTTCAACCCCAAGAAGGTAGGAGTTGCAACCAGGAGCTTCAGAAGACCCTCCAAAATCATGGAGTTGTGTTGGACACAAAAGTGGGAGAAAGTCACAGGCACTTTTCTAGGGTAGCAATTCCTGAAGGAGCAGGATGGGAACACCCCTTCTGCACATGGGTCATGGGAGACGCGCTGTGTTCTCAAAGGATGTGTCACGATCCTTTGTTTACCAAGAAAACTCTCAGAAAGCCCCACAGGCTGAAGGTGTGGCCTTTGAGAACTTCTAAGCAGAGAGAAACCTCCCCTGGCCTCATTTCCTTGTCCATGAGGCTCTATATGCAGAGTTCTCTTGCATCACAGACAGTTCTGTCATTGGATGCCAGACTTCCCCACTGTCACCTTCTGCTTAAGCCTCCCCTCTATACTTAGGGAGGAAGGAAAAGAGGTTTCTTGGTGCCCTTTTTCAGCTCTCTTTTTGGAGAAATGATGCAGGGGAATTTTCTCAGGCCTACAGGAAGTGAGAGGAATTTGCATGTAGTAGAGTGCCAGTTTTGCAAGCCAGACCTTCCTGAAGAAGGACGTAAGTCACATAAGTACATTGACAACTAGTGTGCCAGCTCATTACCTCTGTGATCTTTTTCCATGATAATTCATTGGTATGTTTATGATATAAACATGTCACTGCCCTCGAGGTCTACTGAAGTTGAGTAAGGCAGATTTTCCCCGTTCCCCACTTCTGCCCTCTTAAGATTTTATGATAGACATGTAATGGTGTTTCATTTCTGCTTTAATTTGCAATTCCCTAATTGCAAAAATGTGAGGTTGAAGTCTTCTTGTACTTGCCATCCACATATCTTCTTTGATGAGATGTCTATTCAGGTCTTTTTAATTGAGTTGTTCATTTTCTCATTGCTGAGCTTTAAAAATTCTTTGTATATTTTGGAAAGGTCCTTTCTGAGATGTGTCTTTTGCAAAGATTTTCTCCCAGTCTATGGTGCATCTTTTAATTCTCTTGGTGTTCTCTTTGATCAAATCCAAAAACACTAACACCACCAAAGGCTGGTGAAGACATAGAACTCTCATTCATGGCTGGTGGCAGTGCAAAACACATGGCCACTTTGGAAAACAGTTTGGCAGTTTCTTCCAAAAATAATAAACATACTCTTACTATATGATCCAGCAGAAATTTTTAATTTTAATGAAGCCCCACTTATCAATTGTTTCTTTCATATGTCATGTCTTTGGTGTTATGTCTAAAAACTTACTGGCATTCCCAAAGCCATCCAGGTTTTGTCATAGGCTATCTTCAAAGAGATTTTGTGCTTTAAATTTTGGTTTATGATCAGTTTGAGTGAGTTTCTGATACGGGTAAAAGTCCATGTCTATATTCATTCTTTTGCAAATAAATATCTAGCTGTTCCAGCACCATTTGTTAAAAAAGACTATCATTACTCTATTTATTATCTTTGTTTATTTGTCATAGACCAGTTAACTATATCTATGAGGGTCTATTTTTGGACTCTATTCTGTTCCATTGATCTGTCTGTCTATTCTTTCACCAATAGCACAATATCTTGATAACTGTAGCTCTAGAGTAAGTCTTGAAATTAGGTATTATCAGTCTTGAGTTTGTTGTCCTTCAATATTGAGTTGGTTATTCTAGGTCTTTCTTCCTTCCTAATATTTGTGTTCAATGCTATAAATTTCCCTCTAAGCATTGCTTTCACTGCATTCCACAAATTTTCAATTTCAGTTACTGCATAATAATTTGAAATTTATCTTGGGATTTCTTCCTTGCCCTGGGTGCTATTTAGAAGTGTGTTGTTTAGTCTCATACACAACATTTGTGAGGTTGTTCAGCTATCATGACTTCTAGCTAGGTTTAACTGTAGTCCCACAGTATGATTTGCATCCTTTTAAATTTGTTTTCTAGCACAGAATGTGGTCTATCTTGATCAAAGTTCCATGTGAGCTAGAGAAGAATGTCTTTTCTGCTGTTCTTGGCTGTAATAGTGTATAAATGTCAACTATATCCAGTTAATTGATGATGCTGTCAAGTTCAATTATGTCCTTGCTTATTTTCCTGTCTGCAGACTATGTCCACTTCTGATAGAGGAGTATTGAAGGCTTTACATAAAATAGTGAATTCATCTACTTGTTTTCACAATTTTATAGGTTTTGCCTTACATATTTTGAGGCTCTGTCGTTACGTGCATACACATTAAGACTGTTGTGTCTTTGAGAGTGTTCATTTCTTCATCATTATTTAATGCCCCTAATTTTCCCTGATGGCTTTCCTGTTGTAATGTCTGTTCTGTTCAAATTAATATAGCTACTCACACTTTTTAAAAATCAGTGTTAGCCTGGTATATCTTTCTTTTGCCATTTACTATTTGTTCATTTGTTTGTTTTGAGACAAAGTCTCAGAATGTAGCTCAGGCTGACGTTGAACTCACAATCCTCCTGCCTCTGCTTCCTGTGAGCACTGGTATTATAGGTGTGCACCACCACGTTTGGTTACTTTCAACTTATATGTGACTTTATACTTAAAGCAGGTTTCATTTAGACAACATAAATCCAGGCCATATTTTTTATCCAATCCGTTTTGTTTTGGCATTTATCCTGCTTGGTGTTAGCCAAACTTCCTGGCTATGTGGTTTGGAGTCTGACATTCATTTTGGGAAATTCTCATCATTGCTTCAAACAGCAATGTTCCTTTCTCTCGTCTGTCTCCTTCCGGTGTTCCCATTACACACAGGTCACAGTTTTTGTAGTTGTAGCACAGTTCTTGATTTTTAGTTCTTTTCTCCCTCCCCCCATCCCACCTCCACTTGTTTTCTTTGCTTTTTAGTTTGGGAAGTTTGCCCTGCCACATCCTCAGGCTCTGAGATTGTTTCCTGAGTCATACCCAGCCTACAACTGAGCCCACTGAAGGAATTCTTCATTTTGTTCCATTGTTTGCAATCTCTAGCATTTCTCTTTGATTCATTTTTAGAGCTCCTATCTCTCTACTTACATTATCCATTTTTGCATGATGTCTACTTTTTCCATTAAGACCTTTAGCATATTCATCAATAAACCTCTTGATTTAATAATTGAAACATCTTGCCATATCAGCTCTGATTGCTTCACATTTTGTTTGCTTTTGAGTATGACTTGTGATTTTTTTTTTCCTAAAGGCCTACACCTTGAGCCACTTTGCCAAACCTTTTTTTGTGATGGGTTTTTCCAAGACAGGAGGCCCAGGCTGGCTTCAAAACACAATCCTCCTGATCTCAGCCTCCTGAGTAGCCAGGATTGTAAGTGTGAGCCACTGGAACCAGGCCCTTGTGACCTTTTTTACTGAAAGGCAGCCATGTTGTACTGGATCAAGGGACATGCTAAAAATAGGCCTTGAATAAGATACTGTAAAATGTGGGGGATGGAGTCCTATAGTCTTAGAATCAGGTCTTAGTCTTTGGTGAATCCGAACCTGTGGACTACGATCTTCACAAAGGCCTTTCTGTCTTTTATTCCATCCTTAGGTAGGCCAAGGTGACTGCAGGGAGCTGAGGTTAGGAATTTCTCTTCCTTCAGGTAGGTTAGGCTCTGACATAACTTCAGAGTTTAGGTTCTAGCAATAGTGCTTTCTAAGAACAGACCTTATTTAGAAGAACAGAAATATACATTTCAAAATGACGTCTTCTCTCTATCAGAAGCTCAGAGGGATTTTCTCCAGTATTTACTGTGAGGACCTCACACAGTTTCTAGAGGTCAAATTCATAAATGTGTGAGGGGCATCTATGGCTACCCCCATCCTTGAGTTTGCCCACATTAAGTAGCAGCAATTCACCAATTACTGTTTGTTTTCCTGTTCTAGTACTGGGTCACGCAGAGGTTTCTGCGCACAGGTTTCTGCTCTAATAGGTCTTGACTGTCTATGTCCTGGCTGCCTCCAATGTGAGGAGCAATAGTTGGTCCTATAACCTCTCCTCTCTGATGGATCTAAGAAGAATTGATTTTTCAGCTTTTTGCTTGTCAGGATGGAATGAAAACTTCTAAGGTCCTTACATAACACTTTGGAAACCAGAAGTCTTACTTGTGCCTATGTTTATGGTTCTTCCACTTCATTCCTTACTGCCAGAGGGACATTGTCAATATTGCCATGAACAGTGAGCTCAACTCTAGCTGCCTCTCCTCATCCTCCCTAGTGTGTGCTGGGTACAGGGAAACTAGAAAATCCAAGTTTGTTCAAACTGTGTGTAAAATAAGAGTAAAAGCTCAGAATAAAGGTCTCTGGGGAAGAATTTCTCCACACCTTCTATGTCCCAGGAATTTTGGTTGCTCTGAGCTCTGAGTCTTGGTCTGCTCTGTCCCATGGGAACTAAGTTGAGGCAGGTGCTGCTACACAATGAAATCAGGAACCATTTCAATATCAATAAAACTCAAACCTTAGAAAAGAGTGCAATTATCTGCTACAGTCAAAAACCCTTCTTTTTTGAAACACTATAGGACTAGTTAGAGTGTATGTCTCTGAGAAGGCTTCCATGATGTAAATAGACAAGATTAACAATCCCTGACTCTCAGAAAAGCCTGAGCAATTAATGACGGTCATATAGTGAGTAAGAGGATAAATGTGTCAGCATCATAATTTATACCTCCATTTATTGAATACCCAAGATGTGCCAGGCATTGTCCTAAAAGAAGTACTTAACTTTTCTAAACACTATGGTAGGACCCATTATAATCCCCATTTTAGAAACAAGGACTCTTGCCCAAGGTCATGCATCAATTAAGGGATAGAAGAGGATTTAAAGCCCAGGTATTAGACTCCAAATCTGCTCTTTCCATCACTTTCATTTAATTGTGCATGTCTTACTTCATCCTCAACAGTGTTCTCTATCCTCAGAAGGCCTGCCTCCACCTCAGGTTATGTGAACACAACACTCCTTTAAAAAATATGGCAATCCTAAAGGTGAGCGAGAAGCACAGGTGTCTGTAACTCCCCCCTGAGCCCAGAATCAAATTGAGATGAAAAGGTTCAATTGGAGTCAGGACCAGTCAAGGAGCTGGGTAAAGCTGAACAGGGTAAGCCAAGAAAAAAGATCCCAGCCATCTGTTTCCCCCTGCCACATGGCAGGTGTGCATCTGTGTTTATATGATCAATGCCCACACACTGGCTGTGGTTTCTCACTCGAAATTACATGAACACCACAGAAGTCCACAAAATGTCTCCAGATCTAATTATCAGCTGCGTAAGTCCAGCAGGGTGCCAACTGTGGAAAGCAGCCAGAAGAGGGAAGGAGGAGGGATACGAGGCTGAGTGAGCCAGGCTGGCCTGTTGTTAAACCCACACTCAGCACCTGTCTGGTGCTAAGCCTGCCAGTCTCCAGGAAAAGCAGTCAGGCCCAAAGGCTTGACTTAGGCAGTATGCCTTTTCCAGGAAGGAGGGCTCCAGGCCTTTATAGGCAGGAAAACCCATGCTCTGGATAAGAAGAGCAGAACCCACAACCCAGGGTATGTGTCCCAGCAGGAGTACCCGCTAACTGGCCATCTCACCTTTCTTCTCTGTAGACCAGAAGCACTTGACATCCCTCCCAACTGTGCTCCCTGAAGGCTGCTGCTTTAGGAACAAGGCCACTGCTGTTCAGGGACCCTACTTACCCGGGCAAAGGTCCGGAAGCCCTGGAGGATGGGTCTGTAGCCCGTGCAGCGGCACAGGTTTCCTGCAGGCAGAGAGAAAAGCCACAGCGTCAGTGCTATCCCCCTGAGAGGGCGAGGGACTTGTGAACTCCAGCTCGGCTACATGCTTGTTTTACTACTTTGTTTCTGACATTCTGTTTCTTCCCTCAGAAGGCTCTCTTGCTGTTCTTATCTCTAACCTCAAAACACTCAGCATGACTTCCTTCAGGAAGCCTTCCTAGAATGCCCAGCCTGAGACCCTCCTGGTGTTCCCTGGGTACCTGGTAAAAGCCTTGTCAGGGAGCTTATCAAACTATATTCCAAAATTGCCTCCCCTTCCAAGCAGGAACCCCTTGAAAGGAGAGACTGCATGTTTCATCCTGGGACTCTGTGGCCTGTGCTAAACACAAGACAGGATTCAAAATAACTGCTTGAACAAGTGATAGATTGAAATGCTGAATGTATGGGGAGCCTTCTGCATTTAATTCAGAAGAATAAAAAGTACATCAGGCTCCTGGGCCCACTCCCAGGAGGCAAAATGAGCAGCCGGTCCCTGCCGTGGCTCAGTAGCCTGGCCACCTTTCTCTTGGGTGGTTGGTGTCCTAGAGAACTGTATTCTGGTAGAAGCCGAGGGAAGGAAGACATATCACTAGCCTATGGTCTCCCATGCCATCTGCCTAGGACCAAGGCCCTCTGACGCAGAGACAGGGCAGGAAGACACCCCAGGAAGCAGGGGACCCCAGGAGGTCTCCAGGCCAACCAAATGTTCTCCAAACTGAAAAAAAGGCTAACTTCCTAGCACATCTTAGCCACAGTGTTGGGATGATTAAAAGCTCTCCTCCAAAGGGTGACACTTCACACCGCTAACCCGTTCCTGCCTGTCACCCAGCCTGCCCTCACCTGCCCCTCTGCCGTTCTACCTCCACGCCTGTACCTTGGAAAGCATTCTCAATTTCCTCAATGGTGGGCTCAGGCTGGTTCCGGAGCAAAGCATACATGCTCATGACGACGCCGGGGGTGCAGAATCCGCACTGGGAGCCATGGCTTTTAGCAACTCTCTCCTAGAAGGGACAGGTGACAGATGCCTGTGTTGGCAGAACCTCCCCAGATCCCTGCAGGACTTGCATGAAGCCAGCCCATATTAAGAGGCAATGGGGTTAGCAGGCAGGTCACCAAGCCCCTCTGAGCTATAGGTTCCATATCTGCATGCAGGGGACCATCTTACTGCTTAAAAGGTTTTGCTGGTGGAGCGGCTGAAGTGGTAGAGCACCTGCCTAGCAAGTGTGAGGCCATGAGTTCAAACCCCAGTATTATTAAAAAAAAGATTTAAGTAGATAATCCTTGTAAAACTCTTGATGTTGTACCTGGCATGTGATAGACACGCAGTCTATTTTTAGCTACTAACAGGCAATTGCCTTCAAAGAATAGGGAATTTAGGAATTACCACACACACATGAACACTGGAAGAGTTGTATTCCTTTGGCTTCATTACCCTTCAGCATTCCTAAAGGACCATAGAACACATCTTTTTCCAAACTGGAGTGCCACTGTGTTCTTGTGTTCTTAAGTGAAGGCAAGCCTCAAAGCCCAGAGGGGAACATGAGAACTGGGAAAATGCCAGGTCAGATTTACTCTCTGCATTGAATGCCACGGAATTTCCATTAAAACTGGAAGAAATTTACTGTAAGAAGCATTTTCTCGTCCTTGTGACTTTTTTTTTTTCTTCTGGTTTCTTTTCCTGTTTCTTTTTTGATCTCTTTGGAGTCTCTCTTGGTACTTATCTTAAGTGAACTTGCCAGGATATTATAACTGTAATACTAGACAGATAGGTAGATAGATGATATCGATAGATAGATAGATGATAGATAGATAGATAGATAGATAGATTTTATGAACATTGACTAAGAACCTATTATGCACCAAGCTTGTAAAGCCATTGAAAACAGCAGCAAAGAGGAGAGATCTCTAGTTAGGGGAAATACTGGAAAAAAAAAAACAAGCAAGAAATTCTAGATGGCTAGACAGTTTGTACAGGATGACATGACCCAAAGTGAGTGCCAGCTATTCAAGAGAGATCAGAAAAGGTCACTCTCAAAAGGGGCCCTTGAAGCTGCATTTCAGAGAAGAGAACATTCCAGGGAGAGAAAGAGGCAAGTGTGAAGGCTCTGAGCACAGACCAGCTCAATGTGCTAGAGATGCTGAAAGGACAGTGTGGGAGGAACTTGCTGGACTTCAGAAGTTGGCTAGGGAAGCAGCTCTTCACAAGCTGGGGCAAGGATCTTTCTGTGTGTGATGGAAAGCCACTAATGGATTTGAACTGGAAAAAGATGCTGAAATCTATGTTGGGCAGGGAATGGATTGGAAGGAGCAAGAATGAAAATAAGCATCAAGATATTGCAGCAGGCCAGGCAAAAAGGGATGGCAGCTGGGACCAAGTGGCAAGAGCAAAAACTGAGTCATGGTAGGTTTTGTTGGTAGAGTGAAACTAATTCTGGATAGATTAGATGTGGTGTTTGAAAGATTCCAAGTGACTCCTAGATTTTTATCTTGAGCAATTTGGTAGATGGTTTTGCCATTGATTTAGGTGGAAGAAGATCTGGGAAGGTAGAAGTTAGAGGAAAAATAAGCTTCTGGTAAGTTTGAGATTAGACATCCAGGTAGTGATGTCAAGTAGGCAGTTCAGAATGAGGAGACATCAAAGCTGAAAATCATATGTGCATGCCATTTGCAGGTACAGGGTACAAAATTTAAGGAGGGAGAATGTGAGATCAGAGACCAGATGGGGAGGTAGGAGGAAAAGTAGGAAAGCACAGGGTCTCAGAAACCAAGAGAAACAAATAAATGGACAAGAAGTAGAATCTGGCTCTGTAGCTTATTTGAAGCTAAAGTAAGTGCATTAACAGTAAAGGTCTGATGATCATAAAAGGAGGAATGTTGGGGGGGAACCAGAAATAGGTAGGTGGGGGAAAAGAGAGTGTAGAAGTACAGTATATACATATATGTAAACATCACAATGAAACACCTTTGTAAATTAATTTATGCTAATAAAAAATCTTTAAATTCCATTTATAATAGCATCAGAAACAATAAAATACTTAGAAATAAATTTTTAACAAAAGCAGTGCAAAACTTAGACTATGAAAACTCCAAAATGTTGAATAAAATTAAAGATCTGTATGTCTAAAAAAAAGGAGTAAAGATCTGTACCATTGGAAAGGGAGGATTTTTGATCGATGATACGTGTATGGTCACTGGGTTTAAGCTATTTATTCTTTCACCTGTCGTTTCAAAGAAAACGACAGGCCCTAGGTAACTTCTCACACTTCCTGCAGGTTGGACAAGTTTAGTAATGTCCCCCTTTCCTGCCTAAGAAGCAAAACTAGAGAGGTGAAGCAATGGCACCCCACCCTGCTCTGACTTCACAGACTGGACAAGGTGCTCCTCCCAATTGAATCAGCTCACTCAACCGGAGGCCCTGGCTCCAGGATGTCAGGAAAAGTTCCCAAGAAAGGCATGATCTCCTGAATGACATGTTTCCTCAGATGGGCCTAACTCTGGAGCCCTCTGTGATTGTAATCTCCCAAAGAGTTCTTGCCACAGTTTCCCCACATAAAACCATGACCTTCTCTTTCCACAGTGCTCTGTTCACATCTGTTTCCACTTAGCCTAAAAGCATCCATCAAACCCCTCAGATTATGGCCTACTCTTAATCTTTATCCATTTTCAGGTGGTCTGGTTCCATCAGGTAGAAAAGTGTGGTTAGGCACTTATAAGTCTATTGTCTTATTTAGTGCTTGCTAACCTCCATTCCAATGGGGGTAGAGGTCTGACAGTTCACATTCACATTGTCTGTGGGTGGGAGGTGAGGGGTACAAGTGGAATTACCACTCAAGGAGCAGGAAGTAGATGAGTTTGTTATCGTAGGGCACAGAGAATTTGAATCCAGAATCTGGGAAGGCTGAGGCTCTCCTAAGCATACTGGACAGCAGGGAAACATCCAAATTGTCCCAGGTCTGGAGAAGCTGGACAGCCCTGCTACCAGATTCAGTTAATCCCTTGCTTCCTTTGCGGTCAATGTTCCATCAGCCCTGGCCACATGGGGAGCTTTGGACTTGGGTACTTTCCGTCTCACCACACCCAGAGGAGATGAGGAGGCGGCTCTGGCACAACTCTTGCTCAGGCAATGAAATTCCCACCCAAAAACCCCAAGCAAGTCTGCAGCCTTGGCATAAGCTACCCTGCAAAATTCCCTGACCTTAGGAACACAGCTCCCTTCCTTCACTGACCTGCACAGGATGCAGTCTTGTCTTGGTGCTTCCGATGCCTTCCACTGTTGTCACAGCAACGTGATGCAAGGAGCAGATGGGGGCCAGGCATGCATTGGCAGAAAAGTGACTAGAACCCCAGATTAAGGTCATCATTTTATCAGAAAAGTGCAGGGCCTGTGGGACGCAGTGAGGCTTATTTATGTCTCTTCACTCTGCATTACACTCTAGGTTCCTCTGGTGTCCTTGTCACTCCATCCAAGAAAGGGACAAGAGAGGCCCTCCCCAGATGAGGTCAAGCCCCTTCAGAGTCTTATAGTGTCAGGCACAAAGCTGGAGTGAGGAGCCAGGGTCACTTTTAATTGCCTCTTACTTGGCTGAACCCAAGAGGCTGCTGAGAGGAAAGTTCTAGCAGGTTGTAGCCTTGAAGCATGTCCCTGTCTCTACAAGACCCTTCCTTACTCACCTCAGAATCAGAACCTCCCATCACTTTTGCCTCCCTGAATTCACCCCTTCTCTTCTTCCATCTCCTTCTACTCTCTTAGAGCTCCTCACCTCCCACCTCCAGTCATCACTCATTCATATGCACAATCAACATCAGTCACTGAGTGCCACCCATGTACCAGCTCTCTGCTGAGGGCTGTGGCAGTAAAGGTGAGCATAGGAAAGTAGAAGCTGGTGTGAAGAGGCAATTTAAGAGTTTTATGGCAACTGCTTCAGGAGGGCTGTGCACAGGGCACTGTGAAATCCACATTCATAAGCAGCAACTAACCCCCAGTCTTGGGAGATCGAGGAAGGCTTCCTAGAGGAGATGCTGTTTGGGCTCAGTCCTAAAGAACTAGAAGAACTTACCAAGGGGAGAAGTCCTGGAAGAGAAGACACTGAAGACTTCAGAAATGCCTCAATCAAGAAATGAGTGGGCCTGGGGTGCTGGTAGTTACCATTGTCAGCCTGAAAGGGGCTTTGGCCCATGAGGAAAGAAAAGACTGAGGAGGAAAGTGGGGGCATAGTGTGATGAAGACTGAACTCTGTCCTAGCTAGCAAAGGATTTTGTGGATATGATGTTGGCCTGGATTTTAGAAAGATCATTTTATCAGCAGTTCAGAAATTGGTCAGCATTCATAAGCCAGGAGGACACCTGTTAAGACATCATTCTATAATGTCCTGCCCATGATCAGAGCCTGCTCAGACACACTGGGCTCCCACACTTGCATACTCATACACACATACACTCACACACTCACTCACAAGCTGACCCTAAATCCAAGCCCTTGCATGGGCCACCAGGCAGCAAGTAGGCAAAGGATACACAATCTTGTTCTCAAGACGATCATACTTGGAGAGCATCACTGTGCACGCCCCGCAGCCCCCTTCTCCACAGCCAAGTTTGGTCCCACTCAGTCCCACTAGGCAACCATGAGTTAAGGAACAAGATGGGGGAAAGGAGGCCATAGGGTTTCTGGGAATGCCTGGGCAGAGCCTCACAGGTAGACTCTTCCATTTCCACTCATGGCTCAGACCCTCCACCTGAGAGGCAGCAGAGCCATGGCCTCATCACCTAGATCAGCTGCTCTGCACTCCAGGGAAGTGTGAACAGGACTCTCTCCACTGAACAGAAGAGAGAGGTAAGTATCAGAGTACCATCAGATAGCACCCAAGTAGAAACTCCTGAGAAGCAAGTTCCTCAAGACTGCTCTTTGTTCAAGGTCTCCCAGGTGTGGTCTTATGGGAAGATAAATTGTGCACCTCAAAGATGGAGCATGCCAGGGTGACTGGGTATGCATCAAAGTCACTTAGGCCAAGCAGTGATCTTTCCTGGGTCTCACTGAGTTCTGGCTTTTCACTCTGAACCTGTTGGGCTGATAAAGTCCCAGGAACCAAAATTAGGACTAGACAGAAGTTTTTGAATATCTAGTGCACGACATATGTAAGTGTAAATTAAAATATTTTTGAGGTTTAAGACCAATATCGGGTCCGACTCTTACATATTCTGTGGAAAGATAATCTGATACTCTGCTAAGTAGTAGGCTGTTCTAGAAAACAGCAATTATGTGGTCACCTTCCCTGAGACACAAGGGCTTTGTTGCTGGTTTTCTGTCAGACTTGCAGCCCACTAATTGCCCTGGCTCTCTCCTGGAGATGCAGAGAATTAGGTTAGTATTGTCTGGCCACTTCCTTCATTTTAAGAATTAATGATTAACAGTAATGCAGTATCTTTTACTTGAAAAGCACTTATACCCATGTATGCATTTGACTTTCACAATATTTGGTTAACAGGTGGGGCAGCAACTACTATTTTCCCACAGATTAAAAGATAAAACAAGCCTGGCACTGGTGGATCATGCCTATAATCCCGGCTACTTGGGAGGCTGAGATCAGGAGGATCATGTTTCAAAGCCAGCCTGAGCAAATAGTTCAGAAGTCCCCATCTCCAAAATAACCAGAGCAAAATGGACTGGAGGTGTGGCTCAAGTGGTAGAGCACTTGTTTTACGAGTATGAAGAACTGAGTTCAAAACCCAGTGCCATCAATAAATAAATAAATAAAACAAAAACAAGCCAAGACCCAAGATGTAACTTGAATTGCACAAATATTAACTTGCATATTAGGGCCCCAACAAAGTTATGTGACTCCAGCTTTGGTGGACACCTCCTTATCAATGCTGCTTTTCTCTAAGCACACCAAAGAGGTCTTTCTATATCCTAAGGTGCTTTTTTCACTGGTCAGGATATATGCAATTACCTGCAGTTCAGATAATTGATTGATAATTCAGACAATTGATAATTGCATGAAAACAGGTAGTGGCAGACCAAAGTCTAGTAAAGTCTTCTTTTGGCCTGAGGATCTTTCTAGAAGCCAGGGTAGAATCAAGGGTTCTCTCTTACTGGGAACTCTGCAAATGAACCCTTACCACAGATTGCAATAAGGGTGAGGACTTCCTATCTACGTACCAACTTTCAGTTTTGGATTTCACTTGAGCTTTGAATTTTAAAACAGCCAGTTGCTGAGGAATTTCTTAGGCTTCTGAGCCTTCAAAGCTAAAACTGAGCGTCAGCCGTAGTGGCGCACATCTATAATTCCAGCTCTCAAAAGATTAAGGCAGGAGAATTGTGGGTTCCAAGCCAGCCTGAGCTGCATATCAAGTTCTAGTCAAATCAGGGCTACAGAGTGAGACCCTGTCTCAAAAAAAAAAAAGCTAAAACTGAAATTGTTAGAAAACTAAAATTAGTTTTATTATCAGAAAACTGAAACTGATCTCAACAGTATCTGAGAATGCCCTTCCCAGACCTCCTAGGTAGATGGGCGGGAAATGGAGTTCTGTGCAGTTCTCTGATCCCACCCGCTGATCCCTTTGCTACAAAAGCCACAGGGGTCATCCCTAAAAGCCTCCAGATGACACCAAGTCAACCAACATGCTGTCTGAGAGGAGGTGACAAACCAGAGTTAAGACCATGGATTTAAGGCTCACTTCTGTGTCAAGCAAGGCTTTGTTGTCCTCAAATATGTCACTGGAAAGAGTCACAGGCATCTTTCTGGGAGGAAGAGGGCTCATTGACAGATGTCAGAATGAGCACAGTCCTGACAACAGATCCCTGGGGAGTTTTCTGGTATAGGTGAGGGGTCAAGAGCAGGACTCGAGGCTTCACTACAGGCTCTGACACCAATTGCTCAGAATACACTAGTGAGAGGCCTCACGTCCTCCCCACTCCCATGGGACTTCTGTGGGGATTAAGTGAAATGAACTATGAGGATCACTTTGAACTGTTCCTGTACATAGTAAGCATTCATCAAATGTCCGGTCCTATTATAATTTCTGTTGTGTTTGATCTGGTGCCTCGGATTACTTTAATACTCTGAAAGAACAAAAGATACAAGGGCTCTTAAGGAAGCTCGCCCCGTACAAGGTGAAGAGCAGCATCCCAAGACACTCTGAGGAGTCCCCTGCCTTTGATGACTCCCAGGCCTGCCATTGCTACAACAGACTGTGCCTCTAAATGGTTCCCACCTCAAGAATCCTTTTCCAATAGACCCCCCCCTTTCCTTGTCACCCTGCTGCTAGACAGAGCTGGGGACATTCCCCAGGTGATCTACTTATGTACTGAGCAAATTCCAGTTAGGAAATGGCCCACTCCTCCCAGTGGAAATGGCCATGAGGCTACTGAGGGCCTTTCTCAAGCATGGCCTTAAATCCTAGAATTGCTAGACTCTTAGCTGGAGGACATCTCAAACGGTACCACAACCAATCCTCTCACTTGAGAGTTCAGTTCTAGGGAGCTCAAACACCATTCAAATTCACTTGGTTACTGAGTGATGCAACTACAGCTAAAACATAAGTGTCCAGACTCTATCATTGATCCAGTGTTTGTTCCTCCATACTTCATGGACACTCCCGTCACTAGGAAATGATGTAAGGCCCAGAGAATCAGTCTTCGTCATCCCCTCTCCATTATTCCTACTCCAAAGTCAGGATACATTTTCTTCTCAGGTAGACCAGAAGGGTTGTTTCTGGATCTGCATTTTTCTCCACCACCTACCAAAAAATGAAAGAACAATCTGTCATGGGTATACTTAACCATCCTTCCACAATTGATTTCTCCTTCAATGTCTCACTTAAGAATTTGTAGTTAATGGAAATATACTAAATAGCTCAAGAAAGCCAAGGTATTTTTCTTGTCCGGTCCATAAGAATGAACACATGAACAACAAACAGGACTAACACATGTTCATATCCTTATGTCCTAAAATTCTATCTTAGTGTTCAGTCCTGGACCCCCTTCAGGACACTCAGGTATTGCACCTGCCATTCACACAGAGCAAGGCAAGCATGTCTTCTCATTTGTCCTGCTAGATCACACCTCCAAATGCCAGGGACAGCTGGGAATATCAGCATGCAGACCTTCTCTCACCCTGTGTGTGGTTATGGGAAGCCAGTCATTTGGCTGTGCTCACCACAGTGTAGTATGTGATAGACAACCACAGCCAGAAACATGAAACGGAGCAGCCATCTCAGAGCAAAGACCCATCATTCTGTTTAATAAGGTAGAAAAGTTTGATTACAAAGTGAGATGCTAGTCCCCATATGAATTGCCTATGGAAATCTATGAAAATTTACTTCACTGCTTTTCATGCTAAGAGGATCTAGACTATTAAGATGATCAAGGGAGAGAATTGTGATAATGGTTTCTTTAGAGAGAACTGTACTATGAGACCCTTGTGGATCTCATAAAATGGGAGCAGAGTATTTGCTTCAGACCTCAAACTTAGTGAGGGCCATCTACATATAGAGTCATCATGCCACTGTTGCAGTATAGGGGATGTAGTGGCCTGGCATATCTGAATAGTTAAGGGTAGACTTAACATAAAATTAACAACCAACAATGATACATTTAAAGTCCTACTTCAACTAATACTGAAGAAGCAGAAGCGTTAGGATTGTGAACACTCCCAGAGTTTGGTAGAGCCAAGGATATGGTTGGTCATAGACCTAGTGCAGATCATCCATGAGATGGAGAGAGCTGGCTTAGGGGTGTTTAAATTGTTCCCAAAAAGACTGGCAATGGATGGGATCTGTAATACATTCTGTGTGAAGTGGACTCCCCAAAACTGGAGGCCAAGGGAGACCAGCAGCCCTGAGAAATGCACATCATTCATGTCATGGGTGGACCCTGAAGAATCCTTGAAGCCACTGTAAGAAAAGTGTCAACCTACACTTGAAAAGCTATAGTGCAATGGTACCAATTAAATAAGAGTGCTACTGCTACACCACCATACCATCCTGAATTGAGACTGTGTTTGACAACTAAATCAATAAGAGGACTTTTTTGTATATTGACCAACAGTAATCAAAAAGTTCATGAAATGCAATCCCAGATACTTGGGAGATGAAGATAGGCAGATCATAGTTCGAGGCCAGCCTGGGCAAGAAAAAAAAAAAAGTTAGCAAGAGCCTATCTCAAAGAACAGGTCAGGTGTGGTGGTGTATGTAATTCCAGTTAGGAGACATAGGAGGGTTGAAGTCCAAGCCCAGCCCAGGCAAAAAGTGCCAAATACTTTCAGAAAAATAAAATCAGAAAGGGCTCAAGTGGTAGAGCACCTGCCTAGCAAGTGCAAGGCTGAGCTTAAACCCCACTACTACCCCTCACCCCACAAAAAAGTCTGTGACACTTCCAGAGTTTGCCCTTTGAAGAAAACTTAAAGGGAAATGAGAGATAAAATTAATTCTCTCACATGATTCTACTTCAGGAGTCCAGTTTGCTCAATATCCTAATTACAAAGTTCACACAAGGGGCAACTTCTTTTCTCCTGGAGAAGAAATCATGAATGCAAATAATAACAACCCTTATCATTTTTCTGGAAGGCAACAGTAACCACCTTTTTCTTACCTTATTACTTCCCTCCACATTTTTCCTTCTTCCTGTCCTGCACATCACACCAATGCCTTCTGTGACCTCCTACATATTCAAGGTAAGCTCCTTAGGCTGTTTTTCAAAGCTCTTTCCGTTGTGTTCCCTACCTTCACTTTCTGCCCCCTACTTGTCCGCAACCTGATCTCACTACACTGAAAATACATCTTATATCTTCCAGCTCTGATGCCTTGAAGGATGCTGCTCTTCTTCTTCATGCACTTTGTTTTTGTTTGTTCATTTTGTTTATTTGTTTGGTGGTATTAGGAGCCTCATGCTTGCTAGACAGGCACTCTTCCACTTGAGCCAAGTCCCCAGCCCTTTCCACATGGACCTTGACTTAACAGAAGACCACATACTCCCTATTCAAGACTTTCTACATCATCCAAGCCAAATGTGGTCCACACTTCTTTGAATTCCTATGGAGAATAACCATGCCACTCCCATGGGTGTGGCTCAGGGCTTGCCATGGTGTGCTCCATGGAGCACTCTATCAATGGTGTGCCAATGGATATTCCCAGAAAAAAAATTTGATGGGAAGTGAGTTTAGGAAAAGTTGGGTTGAGTAGATTATTCTGGGAAAACTCAAGCATTAAAAGAAATAATGGTCAAAATGGATTATAACCCACTAAATAAAATTTAAATCCATGTTCAAGCTGATAATTAACCAACCAACCAACAAACTCTTCCTGACAGAACAATGCCAAGTTAAAAACCTGATTGGCCATTTTTTAGTAATAATTGATTAAGAATTATCAATGGATACTTGAATTATTGAGTGAAAATTTGATGAACAAGATATATAATCTCAAAGTATCTGTTTACAGGTTATTAATTACAAAGTTAAAAAGAATTATGGTGAAGGAACTTTAATGTATACCACTTTAGCCAAAAGGTCAAAGTTCATATCACACATAATGGGAAAAATTGACAGCATGGCCCCATGATAGAACGCGCTAAGAAAGACACATTGCATCTATGGTATTCCAGCCTGAAAAGCAGACTCAGAATCTAATTATAAAAAACCCATCACAAAAAAGGGCTGGTGGAGTGGCTCGAGGTGTAGCCCCTGAATTCAAAGCCTTAGTACCAAAAAAAAAAAAAGAAGAAGAAGCATAAGTAAAACTCAAAACAAGAAAACAAGGGACATTCTAAAAAACAACTGACCTGCTTTCCTCAAAAACATCAATGTCACCAAAGACAAAGGAAAACTGAGGAGCTGGTCCATGTTAAAGGAGACTAAAGAACTATGGTGCTGGGCACTGGTGGCTCACACTTGTAGTCCTAGCTACTCAGGAGGCGGAGATCAGGATGATTGCTGTTCAAAGCCAGCCACAGGCAAATAGTTCCTGAGACCCTATCTCAAAAAAACCCATCACAAAAAAAAGGTCTTGTGCAGTGTCTCAAGGTGTAGGCCCTGAGTTCAAAACCCAGTACCACAAAAAAAAGAAAGATACGCACATGTGTACATCTATATTTATTTATGTATATCTGTGTTTATACAGTATATGTATATGATTATATACATTTTATATATATATATATATATCTCCAGAAAGAGAGAATATTAAAGAAAACATAACAAAATGTTAAGTTAATGAATGTGGGTAAGGGGTATTTAATATTTCTTTGTATTCTTGTCGCTTTTCTGTAAATTTAAAATAATTTTGAAATACAAAGTTTAAAAAGCAAATGTTTATTATAGGGTTTTCATACCAATTATATACCATGGCTTTTAATATTGATCCATTCATTTCATCCACATTAATTGGATACTTACTATGTTCCGAATGCTGTGCTAGGAGGTTTAAAAATATCCAAGATGAGCATCTGTTGGTGCTATTTCTATGAAATACATTTGGAATATACCACTTTGCCTAATCATAATTCATAATTCATAATTCACCAAGTGGCAAAGTCTTGGTTTCAGAGATCGTATTCCTCCAGGGTGCATGCCATAGCCTTGGGTGTCTAAAGGATCTTGGTAAGTGTGAATGAGTGAGTGAACTCTCTGGAGCTGACACTTGCTTCTTGTGGGAATTGCTCCTGGAAACCTTGCATCTTTCATGTTGAATTCTCCCAGATTCCCACAAGAGCCACAATCTCCACTAAACAGGGTGACTGCTCAGAAAAGCAGAGTCCTGCCCCCAAAAGATGATCATTACAGTGGTAATAAAACTCCACAAAGCGCTTGCCCTTTTATCCTGACTCCAGAACAAATGTGAAAACTATAGTTATCAAGACTGATCCCAGCCCAGAAAACCCCATAGGTGTGTGGTGTATTGCATCTAACACCCACTCTAGTCCCTCTTCTTGGAGACAGAGTCCTGGACAGTGTACAAAACAAACAGAGGAAGAGACTTCTCGTTAAGAATGAGTCACCATGTTTCCACAGCTTCTTTGGTAACTTCTTTACACAATGTCCATCACTAAAGGTCTAGAACATCTTGAAAATAGAACAGGGAACACTTATTCACATCTGCCTTTATCTACCCAGAATTCCCTCACTTGTTCTTGTTTTATTAGCACTGCTTCCATGTCACTAGCCTTTACATTGCCTTTCTGCCTTTCCAGCAGTTTCTCAAGAGCCCACGTCTTTATAAATTGCAAACATGGACATTTGTCAGCAGAATCTTGCAGTAGTAGAAGCTTTTAAAAATTTTAAATCATTTTCCCAAAGTTCAAGTAAAATTCAAGGGAAACAATTTTTAACAAGTTAGTTTGCCTTGAAGTGCTTCTTTCTAAATTCACAGAACAACAGCAAGCCCATCCCTAAAGAACAGGACTTTGCACTTTCACATTCAAATTGATGGCTTAATAAATAATAAAACCTTAGGTAAGAAATGGCCTTGGAAGTCATTGGATTCAGCTGGTAACTTACTGTGAAATCACTTTCTAAAATTCTACACGTCTGTGTGAGCAGCATCTCCAGGAAGCTAACTCAACAGCTATTTCCTTCAGCTCTATGATATAATCACTGAATACAAAAGAAGCTTCAAATGCAGAGTGCAAAAGTCTTACTACCACCAGTTTGGAAGCTTTGCCCTACCTCATGACTTGGTGCCAGGTGCCAGCCCTGAAAAGGAAGCAGCTCAGAGACAACATTGAAACACAGTGCCCCCAGTGACATAATTCAACCTGAACCCAACAGCTTTTTTAAATTGAATGCTGAAATGACTCCGGAAATTCTCCAAATACATCCCAATAGTTTAAGTCTTAGGAATCCTAGGACATGTTAGCTCTTTAAAATTACCTCAAAAGTCACTTTATTTCTTAACTCAATGCAAAAGTGTCACAATAACAAGGCAAATAAAACTGCCCTTCTTTGGAAGTCCTTGGGCATGGACATCATTCACATGGTCCATGTGACCAGTTACAATAGGCAACTGCAGCCACTCTTTTATGATCTTTTACATTCTTAAGTGGTGAGCGGCTGTGCTGTGGGTGTCTCAGTAGGGAGGACCAGCAGAGCTAGAGACAATGCGATGGTCTCACCTCCTCTCTCCTGACCCATACACTGAAACTGCAAAGACTCTCACCCTTGCAGTGTCCAGGATTTTTTTGGTGCCCATACCATCTTTCCTAGGTGCCTATGCACCAATGAAGTTAACCTAAGCAGGAAGGAATTTGCAACACTCATGCAGAACTGCGGGAAGGAAGATATCCTTTAGGAAAAAAATCATGACTTGCCACAAGGTGTCAGTATATGTTCCCACACAGTACATCAGAGCTAGCTGTCACATCCATACACATAATACAAAATCAAAGGCTGTGTACATCTTATATCCTGATATTATCACAAAAGCATACCTGCTCCTTCTCTCAGTAAAGACAGCCACTAAAGCAGTAGGCCATACATGACCAAACAGACATGGAAGTATGGTAAATGACCCCCTCACCTAGAAATCTGTCCCTCTTTATCTCTCTGAGCTCATGTGTCTACTACTACAGAGTTGACAGCCAGCTCACAGACACCTCTCCTCACCCCACTCCTCTTCACTCCTTTGCCCTTAGAGTTTCTTGCCTGTTCTCTAGCCCACTATTACCAAAATGCAGCAACACCTCTGAAGGGACAGAAGGAAACAAGAACAAGTAAGAGGGGACAGGCAAGGGAGAGAACCAGAACATGTCTCTCCTAGAGGATACACAATCCCTCCCAAGGAGTGGGGACTCTAAACCAAAGGTCAATTTCTGCTTACCTTTTTGCCATTCACAAAGAAAACCAACTCGTCGGCTGGCATTGTCACTGGTGGAGTTCCTGAACTCCAGGTATCTCACTCCTAAGAGACACTGCAGTTATCACTGCTCTGCAACTTGAAAGACACGCCTTCCAATAAAATGAAAGGAAGTTGGCCAATAGGCAAGAACCAGCTCAGAGCTCTGGGGCACAGACAGTTCTTGGCAAATGTTACTGGTTTATATAAGCCAGGAAAATGGAAACCATCAAAGACAGCAAATCACACTCTCTACACCTGTGTCAAAGGGCACAGAGAAAGTGCATGAAGATATTAGTATGGCCAGCATCTTGGTGCCAGGTAAGGGTGGGTCTTGGCTCCTGCCCTCATGGAACCTGCTTCATCTTCTGTCTGCTGCCAGACAGACAAGGGGAGAACTATTGCCAGTTCTTGCTGATTCACTCCCTCCAGGTCTACATTTGTTGTTTACCATTCAGGTTATGGCAACACAAACTCAGCCCTGGCAAGACTCACTCTCTCACGAACTAGTGGAGTCTTTAGGTCACAGCCATGGAACCCAGTGATCCAGACTCAAATCTTGACACTTGATGTCAACTCGTTACCTGTCTCTTACAGAACTCCCAGAACTCAGTTTTTCATCTTGAAAAGGGCATAAAAATGGCACCAAGATCCAAAGGCTGAGGGCTGAGGGACAAATGCTCTCTTGGAAGCACCTTATAAATTTGCAAAGAACCAAAATATTTATCATTGTTGCACAAGTATTCTCGACACTACACTCAATCCTGATAGCAAACCATTTTTGAGACTTTTGTTTCTCTCAGGAAAATGTCCTTGAAAAGTTGTCAGAGTAACTCATAAAAATATTTCAAATACCAAATAAATTGAAATACACATCCCCTACATAGGCTTAGGCCACATTAACTCAGAGCTGAAACCCTTCCCTCATCCAGTACCCACTCATTCCTGTTGTAAACACACATGCACACTGTCTACCCAAGCAGCACCAATGGACTCCCTCTGGTCCAGCATCTCCCAGCTGCCACCACACCCACCAGCATTCGTTCTGGTCTTCTTCAAGCCTATAGCAACCTGAAGTTACTCTGCCAGCCTTTATTGCAGTAGGACACTTCTCCTATACCCCTGGCAGGCTACATGGAGGGAAGAGAGTGACATGGGCAGGTGGGCTTTGCTTGGGTGTGCAGCAGCTTAGAGGAACTGAAGACTGCCAGGACAGCCACACTGTCCACATAACACCCCTTTCCAGTACAGCCTTGGTGTAACCAGATGAACCTTTACTTGTAAAAGTAAGCAGCATCCCACCAGTTTGCCCTGGATTGTCCTGGATTTAGCACAAATCCCTAACAAGTCCTTCAGTCCAAGGCAAACCAGGAGGCTGGTCACCATAAGGTAGTGGTTGTCAGCCAGGTCTGACACCACAGGGTCATTTGACTCTGTGGTCAATGACTAGGGAGGGGTGCTATTGCTATATGTGGAAAGAGGCCTGGGATGTGACTAAACAACTTTCCCAAGAAAGAATTATCCAGCCTAAAACATTAGTCAAGCCGAAGTTGAGAAATCCTTCCCTGAAAGGAAGAAGGGAGAAGGAAGGGAGAGGAATCATGGCTGAACCTGGAGTTTGTTTTTCTAGAAGTCAACTCTCCCTGCCCTTCCCAACTCTTTGATTGGCAGGCTTTTCTTCTATTCACTGATCCACCTGGCTTCACAAACCCTCCCCTTCCACCTAAGCACTCCCTTAGCCAAAGTTTCAGGAAACCCCTGAGGTTAAGGGGTGGAGTTAGATCGACTGGCATGAATAGTAACTCCATCACTTCTAGGTTTGGGGTGATTTTGTTTTGGGTTTTGTAATGCTGAGGATTGAACCCTGGACCTTGCTCTTCAACTAAACTCCCAGACCTAGCTCCATCACTTCTGTGAGACCTTTGCCAAAATCAATCTCTTGGTTTCAATGTCCTTCAATGTTTCAGTGTTACTAGACCTACTTTGTAAGAGCCAACTCTTCTAAGAATAAATGTGTTGCTCACAGTAGATGTTCAACACAATGTACTGGTTTGCTTCCCTCCACTCAGCCAATCTTCTATCCCTTCTCTTAACTGGAGGCAAAATTCCTCAATGTGTCTACAGAGAATTGGAAGGGAAATTTTTTTCAATGCTGGGGGTTTACACTATCATTCAGAAATTTTATTTCTGTAATTCCTAGTTGGAACCCCAAATACTGAAATTTAACAGAAATTTAGCTAATATGATTAATTCTTTTCAGCAAAATATTTGCACCATTTTATTTCTCTGTGATTTTTATTCTTTAAATTGATAAAATTGTATATATTTACCATGTACAAAATGTTTTGAAATAGGTATACATTGTGGAATAGCTCAATTGAGCTAATTAGCATATGTATTTACCTCATATATCTATCATTTTACAGTAAGAACATTCTTTTAATGATTTTCAAAACATAATTCATAGTAATTAAACATGGTCACTAGGTTGTAAAATAGATCTCTTGAGCTTATTCCTTCTAATTGAAATTTTGTGTTCTTTAACCAACATCTCTCCAAACTCCCACTCCCCAACCCTTAGGAACCAACATTCTCTGCTTCTATAAATTCAACTTTTTTACATTTGCATACAAGTAAGATCATGTGTTATTTGTCTTTCTGTGACTAAATTATTTCATTTAACATAATACACTTCAGGTCCATTCCTCTTATTGCAAATGACAGAATTTCCTTGTGTATATATTTTCTTTTATTCATTCATTCATTGATGGAAACTTAGGTTTCTTGGCTTGTGAATGATGCTATAACACGAAAGTACAGACATCTCTTCAACATTCTGGTTTCATTTCCTTTGGATATATACCCAGTAGTGTGATGGCTGGGAAGGACCTTCCATACTATTTCCAACAACGGCTGTACTTTTTTCCATATCCTTTGTTCCATACATGTTATCGTTCATCCTTTTGATAACAGCTGTTAACAGTAAGGAGAAATCTCTCTGTTATTTTAATTAGCATTTTCTGATCACTAGTAATATTGAGTATTTTTTCATATAGTCATTGCCTTCTTTTGAGAAATGTTTGTTCAGGTCATTTGCCCATTTTCTAATTGGGTTTTTTCTTTTCTTGCTAATAGGCTAAGTTCCTTATATGCTTTGCATGCTAGCAAATATTTTCTCTAATTCCATAGGTGGTTTCTTCACTCTATTTTTCTCTGCTTCAGTTGTGCAGAAGTTTTTAACTTTAATGTAATCCCAGTCATCTATTTTTGCTTTTGTTGCCTGGATTTGGGTGCTCATGTTAAGAAAAAATCATTGCCCAGACCAATGTCATGGCAAGTAGTTTTACTGTTTCTGGGTTTAGGAGTAAATCTTGAATCCATTTTGAGTAGGCTTTTGTTTATGGTGGGAGATAAAGATCCAATTTCATTTTCCAATTTTCCCAGTACCATTGAGTAAAGGGACTGCCCTTTCCTCATTGCATGTTTTTTGGCAATTTTATCAAAAATCAATTTTCTGTAAAGGAGTGGGTTTGTTTCTGGACTCTGTTCTGTTCCTTTGAGCAATGTGTCTTTTTTTTTTAATGCCTGTGCCATGCTGCTTTGACTACTATAGAAAAAAATACATTTTAAAGTCAAGTACTATGATCCCAATCCAGCTTTCTTTTTTGTAAATCTCTCTCAATACTGCTTGGGGGGCTTTCATTGATTCCATATGAATTTTAAGATTTTTTTTCTACTTCTGTGAAAAATGCCCTTGAACTGCTTATAGTGAGCACATTTGAATCTGCAAACTTCTTTGGGTAATATGGACATTTTAACAATGTTAATTCCTCCAATGCATGAATACAGGATATCTTTTCATTTATTCATGTCTTCCATTTCTCTTATCAATGTTTTAGAGTTTTCAGTGCACAGGTCTCTCTCTTCCTTGGTTACATTTGTTCCTCTGGTTTTGTTTTGGTTTTTTGCTAGCTATTCTGAGTGGAATTGTTTTATTTTCTGGGTAGTTCATTGTTAGTGTCTAGAATGCTGTTGATTTTTATTAATTATATAGATTTCATATCCAGTAACTACTGATTTCACTTACTAGTTTTAACAGTTTTTTCAGGGAGTCTTTAGGGCTTTCTCTACAAATAAGATCATGTAGTCTATAAGTAGGAACAATTAAAATTCTTCCTTTCCAATTTCATTTATTTCTCTTGCCTAATTGCTGTGGCTAGCACTTCTAGTACTCTAAGTGTCTTTGTCTTGTTCCTGATCTTAGAGAGAAAGTTTTCAACTTGCCACCACTGGATATGATGCTACTGTATTGTGGTGAGGTACATTTCTTTTATGCCTAATTTAGTAAGAGTTTGTATTATGAAAGGATGCTAGATTTTGTCAAATGTCTTTCTGCAACTATTGAAATGGTCATATGATTTTTGTCCTTTATTGTGTTCATGTTATGGATTAAATATTTGCATATTTTGAACCATCTTTGCATCTCACTTAACCATGGTAAAAGATCCTTTTAATGTGCTAATGAATTCAGTCCATCCAGAGATTGGGGGCAATCTGTCCAGCATTTTCTGAAGGCAGGCTTGCTGCTGAAGTCCTCAGACAGTCTAGCATGATCTCTGGGTCAGTAGGTGGTTGGGCCTGGTACCAGGATCCAGGGGATTGGGCCTGAAACCAGGATCCACTAGGGTGAACCTGTTGATTTAATGAAGGAGGTGGTCTTGTGTCTGTGAGTGTAATCCTGGGACCTGTTTCCATGAGTGCCAGCCTGAAACCTGGGTACACAGAGACTGGGTTGGCATGAGGGTGTGAACTTTAACCTCAGTCTGCCGGAGCTGGCCAGTACTAACATGAAATCTGGTGCTCTGGATCCCACCTGGCCCCACGCTGTGCCAGAAGGTTTAGTCCCAAGTACCAGCATAGCGCCTAGAACTGTAGCAATCTGCTTAGCACTGGGTTTGTCAGAGTATCCCCCAATGTTGTGGTTGAAGGAAAGGCTAGGGCCCACTTCCCTCTTCTTACCCCAAGTAGACAGAGTCTCACTCCACACTACACTGCTTGGTGTTGGGAGAGTGGTGACACAATAATGTAAAACTGCC